CCTCGAAAAGATCTCAGTCGCCAAGCTCAAAGGCTCCGAGAACTATACCATCTGGGCTATCCGCGTCAAGGCCATCTTGACGAAAGAGGACCTCATCTCTGTCCTCACCACCTCGACCTCGCAAAACAAGAACGAGAAGGCGCTGTCTATCATACAGCTCCTGTGTGAGGATGGACCCCTGCTCTACATCAAAGATTGTTCCGATGCCAAAACAGCCTGGACAACCCTCGAGTCGTGCTACCACCCAAAAGGGTTCACGACCGAGTACCTCATTTTCAAAGAATTCTTTAACACGACCCTTGAGGACTTCGACACCATGGAGGAGTACCTCATCAAGAAGACACTCAATGACGATCTCAAGGGCAAGAATATTCTTCTTCCTAAGCAACTGATAATTGCTTGGGTGCTGAATAGCCTGAGCGACGAATATGAGACATTGACCCAGTCAATCGTCCAATCACTCCGAAAAGACCCTGAGTCTTATACTACCGAGTCACTGTTCGCCGATCTCATCGACGAATCTCGTGGTATCGAAAATCACAAACTTCTATTCGCCAAGAGAGGAACAAAAACCCCTTGGAAAAAACAAGAGCAGAATGCTCCTTATTGTGAGCACTGCAAAATACCCACACATTATACCACAAAATGCTGGTACCTATTTCCGGACAAAGCTCCGGAAGGTTGGAAAGCTCGCCGAACGGCACCAGCACCAGCTCCAGCTCCAACTACAACTACAACTTCAAGCAAAACATACAAGGTTGAAAAACCCCCAACAACGAAGAAGACTACCAAAGTCTCCCCAAACAAACAAAGTGCCATGATCGACCTCTTGAAAGAGGATGACATTGAAATTGATACAACACCGATGGATGAGGATACTATCATCACTGATGCAGCTGAGTTGTCTGATGACGACCTGCTGAAAGAGGTATGCCTTCCACTTTTCAATAAAAACAAAAACATTGATGAACATCATACTTACAAACATAAATCAGATTTGAATACGTCAGAGCGTTCAAGAAATCTGAATTGGTCAATGCGTTCGAGAGATTTAATGTTTAATAAATTTTATACTTGATACTGCTGCTACAATTCATACAATTTGCGATTTGAAACTCTTTCATTCGTATGAACCCACAAAAACAAACGTTAGTTGGGGCGATGCAAAAGATCTAAAAACAAAATACAAAGGCAAGATCTATGTTAAAACAAATACAACATGGAATTCTTCATCAATGATGTCTACTACATCCCAGAATTGGGAGTCAATCTCTTGAGTGTTAACAAACTACTGAAAAATGGTATAAAGGCAATTTTCAATGAAAAGGACGCCATCATACACAAAGAAAACACTATCATATCACATGCATTCAAGAAAGACAATCTATACAAAACAAGTCTGCTTATCCCAGACAAAGACAAGAACAAAAACATCCTACTGACAAAAAGGGTGGAAAACAACTTCATCAAGATGTGGCATGAACGACTAGGGCATATATCATATGAACCTTTGAAAGCTATACTAAAAACTATCAATATTGATCTATCAAAAGAAAAATACATGAACTCGATTATGCACTGCAAGGTATGCCTGCTTGCAAAGAACAACAGGCATATAAACAAAACCAGTCAACATACCAAAATATTCCAAAAGATTGAAAGAATACATAGTGATCTAGGAGGGCCATTGCCTAGAACCTATGATAACAATGCTTATTACATCGCATTCCTGGACAAAAAGTCTAGATTTATATGGATATTCCTACTTCGCAGAAAGGAACAAGCCTATGATTGCTTCGAGAAATTGAAAGCTCAAATTGAAAACAATACCAATGGACGTATCAAAGAGTTCTTTACCGACAATGGTAAAGAATACGTCAACAAAAAGTTCAAAATGGCTTTAACCAAATAGGATTGAGCATAGACTTAGCCCAACATACACAAAAGAACCCAATGGTCTGATCGAAAGAATCAACTTGACTTTGATGAACAAAGTACGAGCCTTGTTGATCAGCTCAGATGCCCCGTACTACCTGTGGGGAGAAGCTTCAAAAGCAGCTACATACCTATACAATATAACACCGCATAAAGCGCTAAGTTATAAGACACCATATGAAACATACAACAATATAAAACCATTCATCAAAAACATCAAAACATGGGGATCACTTGCATATTATCATGACAACAAATACAAAACAAAACTTGAACCAGGAAAACAAGAAGCCATCCTAATTGGATACAATGACGTCACAAACTACAAACTGTGGGACTTCAAAAGAAAGAAGACAGTATGGGCCCGAGATGTCACTGTATGTGGAAACGAATTCTACAACTTTGACGCGTCAAACGACGAGAAAGACGGTGAAGCCAACATAGAGCTATCAACCGCACTATCTACTCAAAGGCCATACAAAATCGAAGTGCAAATCCCATACAAAGAAATGAATATACTCTACACAGCTCAAGACACAGAGCTAAGAAACATGATATCACGGATAGGTGAATACAATACAAAACCAGATCAAAATGATCCTAACAATCAAAACAAAAACTTCATTCTCACTGCTACCATATTAATTGAACCGAGTGGGTGGAAACAAGCCATGAAATCAAAAGACAAAGAACTCTGGATAAGAGCATGCAAAGAAGAACTCGAAAAACAAAACACCTATGACGTTATTGATATCCCCAAAACAAAAGACAACAAAAATGCTATCACTCCCATAAAAGGAGATGGGTATTCAAACTAAAACCTATATCAAACAAGGCAACAATCAAAGAATCATGGATCATCAATGATGAGAAGACCTACAGATACAAAGCCCGATGGGTAATTCAAGGCTTCCATCAGAAACTAGGAATAGACTTCCTGGAAACATTCTCTACGACATGTAGAACTGAAACATGGCGTATGCTATTGATAATAGCTATCAACAAAGGATGGGTCATCCTACAATATGATGTCAAAAAATGCATTCGTGCACGCCGACATAGACGCCGAAATCTATTGTGAAGGAAAAGACGGAGGACTCGGGAGGGACGGGACCCGCCGGGACCCTGTCAAGATCTCTCAGCTTTCATGGTTTCGATCTACTACGTCATGGGATCTTGTGACAGATATCCGCGAGGATCCGTCAGATCGCCTCCACGTTTTGGAACCATGAAATCCCGAATCATTGTGTCCTCCTAGCTTGCCACTGATGTGAGCGCCGGGGATAAAGACCCCAGACTTGTGGGATATTTCTGAATCTCTTCAAGATTCAGTTTCTGTATTACTAGGCAATAAACTGACGACAAGTCTACCACTTCATTCCATTGATCCCTTGATATATTCTGATACATTCGATAACTATCGTTTTGCCTGATCGTTCACTCTCACGTGAAAACCCCCATTGTCCTCACATCTATACCATATTACCCGAAGGGATATATGATGACATTACCAAATGCTGCCACTTAAAAAAAGCAATCTATGGTCTAGCCCTATTGAAATATGGCTTTAAGGTTTTACCATATGACGAAGGAGTCTACATCAATACAGAAACAAACTGCATCTTGATATGCCACGACGACGATATACTAGCCATTCATAAAGATAAGCAGTATATCCGAGACCTCATGACTGTGACACTGCAGGTGGGTTCTGCCAGGCCTGTCCAGGCGGTGAGTCGATTCAAGTCACGTGACATGAGGAGGAGAGACGAGGGACTTGTTTAGTTGCGCGCCTCTTCGTTTTCTTTCTTTTCTTTCTCTCTTCTTCTTTTTCTTAGACTAGTTATCTTGTCGAATAGGACTCTTTTCGCAGAACTGCCTGCTGTCGCAGAAACAATTTGACCCTCAAAGGCTACTGCGATGCAGATTGGGCCAGGGACAAGGATGAGTATAAATCAACCTCAGTCTATATCTTTACTCTGTCAGGCAACGTATCACACAATAACTCCATATCGTGAAACTCTCAATTACAAAAGAGTGTGGCCTTAAGCACATGCGTGGCTGAATACATTGCTTTAAAAGAAGCCACAAAAGAGGCTATCTACCTAAAGAGCATGTTCAATTACATCAATGACAACCTACATCTAGGTTATACGCACTCGGTGCCAACTATACTAGTGGATTGTCTATCGGCCAAGCTACTAAGTGAAAATCCTGAATTCCACAAAAAGACAAAACACATACCACTGATGTATCATTTCACAAGAAACGCTATATCAGAAGGAAAAGATCAAACTGATCTATATTCCCACAAAACATCAAGTGGCTGACATCTTAACAAGGAATCTACCATTCCCTCAGTTCTCAGCTCTAACAAAGTTAGCACAGCTGCAGGACGAACCAATCAACTAATCTGTATAATCTCCACAGATTGTACAGATTAAGGGGGAGTGTAAGATCTAAAAATATCAAGACACGTTGACGGACAGGCGCCTGCGGACTGGCGTAACAAAAAGATACAACACATGTGAACGGACAGACGCATTGCGGACTGACGTGACATAAAGATACAACACAAGTGAACCGTAACGTTCATAGATTGACGCGGACGGACTGAGGATTGCGATTTATTGCTTCCGGACAGACGGTTGCGGAATCTCACCAAACACAGCACATGAAGTGCAAAGATAAATAGGAGTCAAATCCCCCAGGGGAATCAGTTTTAGCATCACTACTATTATCAAGTTCATGCAACACAATCAAACTTACTTGACTACACCATCTTTCTTCCACATTCTTCCTAAGAACCTTTCCTCCTAAACATCTTCACGCCACCATTCCTTCCTCTGCCATAATCCTCCTTGAGGGCTCCCGCTGGACTCTTGGAGGGTCGAATGCGGCCGAGCTTCAGGTTGAGGTCGATGTACTCTCGAAGTACTTGAAGTTCGGTGCGAGAGAGGGGGTAGATCGGTCCGTAGGGAGGTGTTGCGCCAGGAAGGATGTTGATGGCGTGGTCGATGTTCTTGTGTGGAGGAAGGGTTCTGGATTTGTGTTGAGAGAAGACGTCAATTTTGTCTTCTATTTCCGGAGGAGGTGATGTCTTCTTTTTGGTGGCGATTGGTGTCTGTTGGATCGTCTGGAGGGTGAATCTCGTCATTGAATTCGTCGTCTGCTTCATCGTCCTTGTCCCATATCATGAGAGCATAAACAACGGCTTCATTCTTGAGGGTTTTGGCGAGTTGGTGGGGCGTTAGCATTTCAAGTTCATTTTGCTGGACGCCAAAATACCATCGGTAAGATCCAGTGTTAGGGGTGACTGTTTACAGGACAGAAGACCTGTCAACAAGGTAAGAAGAAAGTGGATGTGAAGAAGAATAAGACTTGATAGATTCAGTAGTAGAACAGAGACTGATTCTTGCCTTTCCCAGGCCGGCTCGATCAGTAGATTTATAGATACATGATCTCTAACCCCATGATGCTCAGCCACACCAGAGATGACGAACAAATAAAGAGATCATGGTGAAGTTTGAACGCCCCTTCCATCACAGCCAAGAGAGATATCCTTCCTGGGCTACTATCAGCTTACAAGTCGGTGTCTTGGGCGACGTGCACTGGGATCCCCGCGTCTACCTTGTCAACTGCCAAGCAGACTAGCATGGCGAGGGTTAAAGAAGAGGTTGTTTGATACAAGCGGGTGGTAGTTGACACTAATGACAGTTGTCAAGTCTTAGTCCAGATCCCCCCGTTCATTCCGCCAGATCGGCGTTTAGCGAGAGATACGGGAGCTAAGAAGGTTGCACTTCGAGATAGAGTATGCTCCTGGATAGAAGCAAGCCACTGGTCTCTAGTCTCAAAGACCTCTTGTCCTCTTCCATAATGAAGTTCCATTGGTGGCTCTATCGTCCATGATCAGATGGAATCAGCGAAGAATCAAAAGAAAAATTGGATGAAGAATCAGATGAAGAATGACCTGATAAAGAATGACCTGATGAAGAATCAAACAACAAGCAGGAAGAGAAGTTTATGTAGTAGTAGATAGAATGTAGTTGCTACTGTAGTAAGCCATGCAGTTGCTCTGGTAATGTATGGTAACAATTGTGGGTAAAATTGATTATGTGATCCGGAATTACGTAAGGTGTGGTGCCGCTAGTAAAATGGTGTGGTGTCTGTATCAATTCCCCAACAAAGATATCAACATATGATTTCAAATCATCACACGTCAGCTCACGTCAGCACTTCAAAGGATCAGTGACATGTTCCCTTTGATTGATATAACACATGAAACATCAATGGTCAACACTTCAAAGAATCCGTGACCTGTCACCCTCTGATTGGTATACCCCGTGACACGACCGTTTCGAAGGTTTCGGGTGGACATCTTGTCTTCTCAGGTAGCCAGAAAAGAAGATTCAGAATATTAAGGGGTAGCTAGAAGCTGATGGCTAGGTAAGAAAGATAAGATGTCGAGTTCAGATAAGAATATCATTCAATCGATAACGAGACTGAATCTTGGAGAGTTCTCATGGCTCTCTCCAAGGCGAAGTATTAACAACAATCAACAGTATAACTCAGTGGCAACACAATGACGATGATGAGGGAATTCCCTCATAGAAACATGATAAATCTCTCATAGACAATCTGGCGATCCTCCAAGTGACATAATGAAATCGATAGACAATCAAAGATCAACTGTGATAAAAGAAAATAATGCGAGGCCCGAGTCCTAAGATGATGAAAGGCCGATGATCATCAGGATTCAGATCCATGATAATCCGGGGTATCGTCCAAGATCATCCCGGGTCCACGTCTCCGATGACGTGTGGGGCCGGTCGATCACACAAGGCCTGAGCGCTAAGTGATGTGAGGGTCCCAAGAGGGGAACCCCGTAACATTGATACAACAATTTTATTTTGTTTTTGATCGTGACACATGGTAGGCATTTGAAAATTGGAGGTTTGGTGAGGAGAGGAAAATTGAGGTGCCTGCCGGAATAGCTTGGGTGCCGAAACAGCCAGGATCCACGTTAGGAAGAGTTCCTTCAACGTGGATCTCAGGGATGTGGTTGGATCACAGGACTATATCATTCGTCATCTCTCACTTGCTCTCTTTCCTTCTTCTGCTGCCCTTCCGCCTTTGATTATCTAGTTCAAATGTGAAACTCTTCTAGTTTTGAGCGTCCTGAGCATCGTCGTAACAGTGTGTAAGGAGGGGAGTCCCAAGATATTGGATGGGGTAGTGGACGACCCAATAGCAAAGGACTAGGTCAGGTAGAAGGATGGGTGAACCGATAAGATAAGAGGATGGGTGGTAATACTGGGAGTTTGTAGCTGAAGCTAATAAAGTAGACGATACGAATCAAGATATCTTAGTGTGGGTAGAAACATCAATTGATTCTTGAGGATCTAACAAGAACCCGAAGTGTCTGGGTCTTTTATCCTCAAGCCTCTCTCACCATGTAACGTAGTAACGTAGTACACCAGTCAAGCGGAGACGATCCAGATCGGCCCGCCCGGATAGTCCGGGGAGGCGAACCAAACACTAATACAGATAAGGTTCGCATGACATAAGTCGTCACACGCGTCATCACACTGATAGAGGAGGACTACTGTGGAACAGTGGGTGCTCTGAAATATATCATATAACGTCTAAGGAAGGGAGATGATATCTACAGGAGTGAGACAAAGTGTGTGCGGGAGCAGGCGAGGTCACGTGACCTCTAACACCCCCCACGACAGAACACATGGTGGTCTCGCATAGGGTGAGATGGTCTCTCCCAACAAAGCAAAAAAGAAAAAGAGAACGGAGGGATATCCAAATGACCAAATCCTAGCCCCCCACATTGTCATGGAGGCCGATCTGTGAAATCCAACGACGAAACATGATCTTGGCTAAGGGTTTCGTCAATCCGTCTGCGGCCATTTGCGCGGTGGGAATCTTCACAAAGCGTACAGATCCCGCGGCCACTTCATCACGGAGTCGATGGAATCTGATGGCTATGTGTTTCGTAGCCGCATGGAACTCCGGGTTTGAGGCAAGCGCAATGGCCCCATTGTTGTCAGCGTAAATTGGGATCGGCTTTTTGAGAAAGCCCTCGATTCCAATCTCAAGTAGGAGCTGCGTAAGCCATAAGGCTTCCTGCACGGCCAGTGCCTCAGCGATGTACTCACTCTCAGTAGTGGAGAGTGCCACGCATGGTTGCTTCTTGCTGGTCCAAGAAATTGGTCCACCAGCCATCATGAAGACAAAGCCAGAAGTGGAGAGTCCCTTTTCGCTGTGCGGTCCGGCCCAGTCTGCATCGCAGTAACCGCAGAGGGCGGGGTCTGCGGTGTGGGTGTTTGCGCCAGAGCTTGCTGTGGCGGCAGTTGTACTCGCCGGAAAGAACGTCAGGGTGAGGTTCTTCGTCCCTGCCAGATATCTGAAGACTCGTTTCAGCGCTAGGAAATGAGCTTCTCCTGGGTTCCTCGCATGTCTAGCGAGCTTGATGGTCACAAAGGAGAGATCAGGCCTGGTTGAAATCATCAACCAGATCAGGGTACCGACCTTGGTCTGGTACTCCTTTACCTGAGCCTTTGTGGCGGTGCCATCATCAAATGGAGTCAGGACAGTCCTCTCATCCATTGGAGTGGCTACGGGATTGCAATTCTCGAGGCCGAAGCGAGTGAGAATATGGTCCACATAGTCAGACTGGGAGAGGAGGATCTCGCCGTGACGTCCGTAGTGCACGTTGATAGCCAGATAGCGTTCAAGGGCACCCTTGTCGGAGATGTCAAAGTGACGAGAAATTGCTGTCCTGAAGGTCCGTATAGTGTCCTCCGAGGGGAATAACACCAAAAGGTCATCGACGTAAACCATGACGTACAAATCGTCTTCTTTTCGGATGAAGACGGAGTGGTCCGATTGGGTTCGTACAAAACCCATGGATATGAGTACATCATGGAGTAGGTGATACCACTCCCGGGGGCTCTGCTTAAGACCGTAAATGGTCTTCTCAAGTAGGCCTATGAAGCCTGGATGTTCCTCCTGCTGTCCTTCAGGGAGCTTGATCTCAATCGGTTCCTTCAGCTCAGCATAGAGAAACGCGGTCGTGATATCGACATGGTGTATGGGCCAGCCTTTCGATGCAGCGATAGCTACGAACAGCTTGAAGGACATCGGCTTGGCAACAACTGCATACACCTCATGGAAGTCCTGGTCCTTGATCTGACGGAAACCACGAGCGACGAGGCGAGCTTTGTAGGTGCCATCATGCTTGATCTTAAAGACCCAACGCAGTGTGAGGGGCTTGCGGCCCTTTGCTTTCGTGCGAGGAAGGAGTCTCCAGGTGCCATTCAGATTGTGACGGGCAAGCTCCTTGTGTGCAGCGACCAGCCATTTGTCCTTCTCCACGCAGTTTGTTATGAGCAAAATCTTTGATGAAAAGACTGCTGTGATTCAGAAAACTAAAGGTGAAAAGAGAAAGAGAAAGAAAGAAAGCAACTATCTGAGAGGAACCTTTATGCTCCTCAGGTACGTGCCTCAGGCACGAACAAACAATCACCTCCTCTATCACATGACCCTTGTCCTTTGTCCTAGATCTCATAGCACGTGACACAGTTCATCGCTTCCTTCCAGTTATTGGGTTCAAAGCCTATATCAGTCGGCTTGAGCTTGGAGGGTGCGTATGACGTTCCCTTCGCCGTGACGGCAGAGAAAAGGTTCAACAGTATGTCAGGTGAACTCGTGAGGAGCTGCAGGACATTGCTGTCGAAGAAGGACCTGCTGGCAACACTGTCAAGGTACGCCTGAGATGGCTTCTTGAGCCTCGTTGAGCGCCTGAGAGTTGGGGGATCCCCAGGATCAACAGAATCCGCTGGAGGGGGATCCGGGGAATCCGCTGGAGCAGGATCCGAGAAGAAGTGATCCTGTTGGGGAACCTCGGTTGGAGTCTGCGGAGAGACTCGGGGGTGTGCGGGAGCGGCAGCCTCTGTTGCAGGAGGGTGCGGCATTGTGGGGTAGGAGTCGTCTTGACCACGGGCCAGTGAGGTGCGTCCGAAACGGTCAATACCTGAAAGGTGGTGTTTAGCCGTCGGGAAGGTCGGATTCTCACGAAGGACGGCCGGGTCTGACGCTCGCAAGGGTGGGCTTGCGGGTGCAAACAGGTGCGTATCATCCGTGTCCTCGACCGTTGGAGGAGGCGGAGTCCCGAAACGCACGGGAATGGTCGGAATGTGAGTTCGGACCGGGCCTTGATTGGCGGAGTCTGCATCATCGAGTTGAGTCCTCGGCATGCCATGATGGTCCAAGTCATTGAGAAAGTCAATGGGGACATGGCCATGAAGAGAAGGTTGTCCTTCGGGGCGCGAGCCCATGTCTGCGATGTTCAGATCGTACGCAGGGTCAGGAAGATCCTTGGGGGCCGGGTTCTCGTTGAAGATGACGTGACGAGAGCGGACAATCTTCTTCGTCCGTATGTTGTAGAGGACGTAACTGTCGCCTTCGTCATACGCTATGAAGCGTGCTTCATCCATGTGAGGGTCGAGCTTTGTAGCTCGCTTCTCATTGGGGATCAAATGCCAGCACTGGCACCCTAGGGCACGCAGATTGGAGAGGTCTGGCTTTTTCCCGTAAAGAGCTTCGTATGGGGACATGCCAATGCGGGACGCGTACAGGCGGTTCATAGTGTAGGTCACTCCACCAAGCAGATAGCCCCAAAGGTACTTGGGGAGCTGGTACTCAGACATGATTGCCACAAGTGGCTCCACGAGGTGTCGGTTCTTGATCTCCGAGACCCCGTTCAGTTGCTGAGTGTAAGGAGGAGTGGGATCCCACACTACGCCTCTCGACTTCAGATACCTATCAAGAGGCTTGTGTTCCGGCGCATCGTCTCCATGTACCCTCTTCACGACATAGTTGAACTGCGTCCGTAGGTAGCTCTCGAGACTGATGAACTTCTCAGTAACTTCAGCTCTCGATTTGAGCAAGAAGAGCCATGTGTACCTAGTCGCATCGTTGGTGAAGGTAACGAAGTAATGTTCACCGCCGTGAGACGCAATCGAGATAGGTCCCCAGACATCAAGATGCAAGAGTTCACCTGGTCGAGATCGGATGGACCTGACCTTTCCAAAAGGTAGAGCGTGGCCCTTGCCCTTAATGCACGGGGTGCATGGAAATGTGACTCCTGTGCCTGGTTTGAGGGCAATGCCATCGCCGTGGGTCTCCATCTTCCGAACGCGATCTTCGCCTGCGTGGCAGGCTCGACGGTGCGCGAGATCAACGGAGATTGGAGTCGTCTTTTTCACAGCGAAGACGGAACTTTGCGAGCCAGTCACCAGATTGCAGCGCAGCATGGAGTCGACCTTGTCAACACCGTAGCAATTCAGCCAGTAATGCTCTCCCTCACGAGTGGCATTACCAACAACGGACTCGGGGCCACCGAGGGTTGAGTCCTGGTGCAGGAACGTCATGTATCCGTTTTTGGTCCAGGTGGCTATGTCGTCTGAGTCAAGAGCTGACATGGAAATCAGATTCGACTTCAGTTCGGGGGCCAGCCAAACTTTCTTCAACGTGAGGGGAGGGAGGCTGCCTGTCTTGTGTTGATCCAGCAGTTGCAGAATAACGTCACCATAGCCTTCGGTGTAGAAGACTTCACCTGTGGCAGTCCGTACCGGCAGTACACACTGTCTGAAGTTGACGAAGACAGAGCGGTGCGGTGTCATGTGCGTGCTGGTTCCAGAGTCGATCATCCACTTGGCTGTGTCGTCTCCAGTGTCGGCAGCCAGGCCTTCTGGCGAGACGAAGAAAGAGGACAGCGTGTCATTGAACAGTGCAGAACAAAAGAGACTGTCCTTCTCATAGCGGAGTAGGGGGTCTCCAGAGGGGGCACTCGATCTGGGCGCGGGAGCAGCTGATTGGGCATTTCCAGGTTCAATGGCTGGCAAGGACCTTGGGTGAGGTGTGTAGATCGCATTCACTTGAGACCTAGGAGGTTGAGGTTGAATGGCGATAACACGTCCCTGGTTGTCAACCTGACCTATGATTTGGCCTGGCTGGGGGACTGTCACTTGTGGGTATGGATGCCAGGATTGAGGGGGCTGGTTGGGAGACGGCTGGTATACCGCATTGGATGCAGAGGTACCCTTCAGCAGGGGACAGTTGCGGGTATAATGATTACCCAGTGTGTTGTGCACCTTGCACCAGATGGCGTCTTCCTCCCTTTCCGGCCGCTTCTTCTTCTCCTTGTCTTTGTCCTTGTTGTTCTTCTGCGCGTCTCCGGACCTGCCCCTCCCCCCACCTCTGGATTTGTTCTTGCAAGTGGTGTTCTCATTGGAGGATGAGGTTTGGGTCGCATTTGCGGAGTATGACGTCGACGGCACATTCGCAATCCGGTTGGACCCTTCAGTCATGATGAAGTCTGAGTAGACCTTCGCCAGGAAGTTGGGGTCATTGAGGTCAGGGTTCAGGTTCTGAATGAACACTTGACACCGGGGATTGAGATGGATCGCCTTGACAAAGAAATTCAGGATCATGTTCGGGGAGAGTTGGCTTTCTCTCTGATGGATCTCGAAAAGAGCATCCTTGAATCGTCGAACAAAATCTTGTGGATTGTTCTTGTACTGGATATTATCCAGCACTTCGAACCGTCTGAAGTTCCCTTGCCAGGAGGAAGACTCATATTCCGCACGTAGCATGGCATAACACTGGAAGGCATTTTCAATGCTCTGGACATGGGATGCTGGAATAGCATCGAGGGTGCTGAAGATCAAATTGCAGCAGCGAACATTCGCTAGGACCCATTTGTCGCAGAGTCGTTAATGCGTTGCCTTTCGTACCTCGTTTGCTTGTCTGCGAGTTCTGATTTCGTCACGCACGACGTTATCAGTAATAAACGCGGCATTGGAGGCCCTATGTATGAGGACCTCGCGGACCACATCTGGGGACACATCAGCGAGCACCGATGGAGTTGGCTCGGTGAGGTCGCCATTGAGGAGGTCGACATAGATTTTGTTATTCTCCCTTAGCGCCATGTACAGGCGGAGGCGCCATTGGGAGAAGTTTGACTCGCCCTTGAGCTTGGGGACGACCTTAGAGATGTCAGACTCTTCCTGACGGTCGAAGTCGTAAACGGTTGACATCTTGGACGTCGGCTCTTTTAGCGGGGAGTGAGTGAGTAGTAGTTGGGGTCTGAGTGAGCGGTCCGTAGACGGTCGATAAAGCGAACGGCCTTAGAATGGCGGTCGTGTCGAACGGTCTTCTAGACGGTCGATGAATCGAACGGCCCAGATGTGGCGGTTGTGTCGAACGGTCTTCTTGACGGTCGATGAATCGAACGGCCCAGATGTGGCGGTCGTGTCGAACGGTCTTGACGGTCGATCAGATGCCCAGAGGAGATGCAGGTAGATGCTGTGAGGCGATCTAGGTGCAGGGGGTAATGCGAGTTCTGATTGGCTAGATGAGGAAAAAACTCGGCGGGAACGGAGTGAAGAGATTTTTGAATCTCAACAAACCTGGCGCGACGTAGGACGCCTGGAGGAGGGGAGTCGAGGCTTGCGGTTAGACAGAGGCCTCGGCAACGGTCTCATAACCTGATAGAGGAGGACTACTGTGGAACAGTGGGTGCTCTGAAATATATCATATAACGTCTAAGGAAGGGAGATGATATCCACAGGAGTGAGACAAAGTGTGTGCGGGAGCAGGCGAGGTCACGTGACCTCTAACAGACACGCTTGACAATGGGTGGAAAGCAATGACGGAGTATCGGAGACCTGTCAGGGTCTCCCGCATGCCCCAGCCAAGGCCAGTGGGCCTGGTGACAAAGAGTCAAGATACTCAAAGTGTTAAGGGGTAAATAGAAACAGAAGACTATTGGCTAGGTAAGAAGACAGCAAGATGTAAGGCTCATTGATATGAGCAGGCTCAGACATGAGCATAGTCCATTCGATAACGAGACTGAATCTTGGAGAGCCCTCATGGCACTTCCTCAACGAGGACCACTACCCCACGGAAAGGCATAGAATGGCATACGTCATGAACCGCTGCGCTGGTAAGGCCCGGGTACAGTTACAGCCCCGTTTAGAGCCCGATGCCAAGAACCGGTACAAAACAGCCAAGGAGATGCTGGAACATCTCCAGCTTGTGTTTAAGGATCCCCAGCAACGTCGCATTGCCCAACGAGAGTACGGGGAGCTAAAGATGAAGGCGAACGATGACTTCAATTCGTTCTACGCGGAATTCTCCCGTCTTGCTCTGGAGTCGAAGCGCGACGAGGAGCTGCAGAAGGATGATCTGTTCGAGAGACTTCCGTACCGGTTGCAGACGTTGGTGGCTGGAGTACAAGGACGAGGTGACCATGGAAGAATTTGTTGACTCCTGTCGACGCGGGGCGATCACCGTGACCCGCATGCAACCCCCGAACCGCTTCAAAAAGTCGGAATCAAGCACTCACCAGGCAGGTAGCAAGGGCTCCACCTCGAACACGCGAACAAGCACCACGCCCGCGGTCAATCGTCGTGGTAAGACGAACACCACCTTCGCCGAGCGACAGGCCCTGCTAAAGGAAGGGAAATGTTTCAACTGTAGGAAGGAGGGCCACCTCAGCCGCGACTGTCCGGAGGGAGAATCGGAGGATAAGAACAAGACGAAGGCAGCGGCTACCTCCGCTAAGAAACGAAGCCAGTCAACCCAACAACGCATCCAGGATGCTGAGTCCGATTCCGCATCTGATTCGGGAAAAGACTAAGCCTGAGACAAGTCTCCATCTCAGGCTGCATACGAAAGTCTACTCGTGGTTATGATCTCTCGAAATTGCTATCTCCAGTCAGTTTTACAACAAGTTCGCAGGTAGCAGTTAACTCCTTATTTTTTCAGATCAATGCCCTTGTAGACTCGGGAGCTGATGTTTACGCCTTAATCCATCCTAAGGTGGTTGTCAAGTTGATACCTTATGGTCTCCGAACGAGAAAGCTGCAGGAACCTCAAGGAATAGAAGCCTTCGATGGCAGGCCTGCGAGACCCATTACTCACGGCATTCGAGCACCTTTGATAGTGGGGAACCGGAAACAGGACAAGGTGCCTATGCTGATTGCGGACACGGGTCAGCATGACATGATACTTGGAAGACTTTGGTGCGCGGACAGAGGCGCCCTGATTGACTGTAAAAACTTACAGCTCATCTGGCCCGAGCCAACGAAAGAAGAGGAAGGGCGAATCATGAAGGAAGAAGTGGCTTGTCAGATCACAAGGCCAATCCCTATCCAGATCCTAAGGCGCCCGACAGTGGACGAAGCGCATCAGAAAGACGCAGAAAGAAGGGATACAGCAATCGAACGGGCCGAACAGCGAGAGCAAGCCACAAAGCGAGTAATGGTGGTGTACAACCACTCCCACAAGGAGGACACTGTGAGGAAGATGGAGTGTTCCCTACGAGGAAATGAGTTGGCGCCCAAAGAAGGACTGGCAGACAAGAAGCCTATGCCGCAAGGATTTTCCATTGCTGCGGTCGGAAGCGCGGGGTTCCAGCTATGTGCGAAACAACAAGGAGTGGAGACCTTGGCGACCAGTATTCATGAGATCGAGCATGTAATCGCCAAGCTGACGATGCCCGCAGATATCGAAGAGGCCAAACCCCAGATCCCGAAGCAGTATCACGAGTTCCTCGATGTGTTTTCCAAAGCAGCGTCTGATACTTTACCTCCCTGTCGAGAAGGAGTGGATCATAAGATCGAGCTGACAGAAAAGACGACGCCCGGTTATTGCCCTCTTTACAAGATGCCGCTGGAACATCTTGAAGCGGCAAAGGCGTATATCTACGAAAATCTAAAAAAGGGCTTCATCGTTCCAAGTTCAGCTCCTTTTGCGTCGCCTATCCTTATGGCGAAGAAGCCTGGTGGAGGACTAAGATTCTGTGTGGACTACCGGAAGTTGAACTCTGTCACTAAGAAGGACGTCTATCCCTTACCGTTGATTGATGAAATGCTGCACCGACTAGGGAGTGCGAGGTTTTTCACGAAACTCGATATCCGCCAAGGATTTCATCGTATCCGAATGCATCCGGAGGCTGAAGACCTTACGACTTTCCGCACTAGGTATGGTTCATTCAAATATAAGGTCATGCCATTTGGCCTCACGAACGGGCCAGCTACATTCCAGCGTTTCATGAATTCCGTACTCGTGGACAGCTTAGACGACTATGCAGTGGCCTACGTCGACGATATTTTGATCTACAGCGAGACGCTTGAGGACCACGAGAGGCATGTCAAGGTCGTCCTGCAGAAATTACGAAACGCAGGCCTACAAGTGGCGATTCACAAATGCGAGTTCCACCGGCCCGAGACGAATTCCTTGGATTTATTGTGGGAACTTCCGGCATCCGTCCGGACCCTGAGAAGATCGCAGTGATCAAAGACTGGAAGGCGCCGACGACAGTCAAAGGCATTCAATCATTCCTGGGGTTCTGTAACTTTTACCGGCGATTCATCGCAAACTACAGCCGCGTGGCAAAGCCCTTGTATGGGCTGACAAAGAAGCAATCCTTGTGGAATTGGACAGACCTGTGTGGACAGGCATTTGAAGAATTGAAGAGGAGATTAGTGGACGCACCAATCCTCGCGCACTACAACCCAGAAGCACCCACTAGGATCGAAACCGATGCGTCCGATGAGGTACTCGGAGCGGTTCTCACACAGCAGTTACGAGACGGACACTGGCACCCAATCGCGTATTTCTCTCGAACGATGGAACCAGCAGAGAAGAACTACGAGATCCATGATAAGGAGTTGCTTGCAATTATCAGAGCGTTACAAGAGTGGGAGGCGGAACTTATCAGCTTGCAGCAACCTTTCGAAATTCTTACGGATCATCAGGCGTTACAGTGGTTCCGAACAAAGAAGAAGCTGAATGCAAGACAGATTCGATGGAGCCAGCTGATGGAAGGATTTAACTTCACGATCCAATACCGTCCAGGAAAGCAGAACGTGCTAGCGGACGCACTATCAAGGAAAGACTTATCGGATCGGACAGACTCGACGGACCAGGTACTCCTGCCTGAAAAGCGGTGGGCCTACCTAGCACCTGTTACCACGAGACAGCAAGTTCGAACAACGGAGCAGCCAACGGAGCAGCCATCGGAGCAGCCATCGGAGCAGCCATCGGAGCAGCCATCGGAGCAGTCATCGGAGCAGCCATCGGAGCAGCCATCGGAGCAGCCATCGGAGCAGCCATCGGAGCAGCCATCGGAGCAGCCATCGGAGCAGCCATCGGAGCAGTCAGTAGAGCAAACAGAACATCCAGAAGATGAGCTTATTCGGCGAATCAAAGAAGCGAACCTGGCACATGAGAGTCTGGATGAGTTTCGGGAAAAGGCACTAGCGGAGGAAACTGAACCATGGTCACTACGGGAAGGACTACTACTACTGTTAAGATCCTGTACTGTGGGTATGAATTGGAAACCTGACATGACAACTAGTTAGTTGTCATAGTGGTCTTTTTGGTTAACGCCTGGACTTACGTTCGGTAGGTGGTGTCAGGCCCACATGCCGTAACAACTACACAGAGGAAAATTAGTAGTCCCGGATGAAGGAGACCTACGAGCAAGACTCCTTGATGAAGTGCATCGTCAGCCCTCTACTGCCCACCCAGGCGTCGATAAGACCGCGAAGTTACTCTCTGCCCGCTACTACTGGCCAGGCTGGCTCAAGGACGTGCAACGATACATCGACAACTGCCACACCTGCAAACGAACGAAAGCGTGGAGAGATCGCACCCCTGGGCTACTCCAGCCGCTACCTGCGCCTGACCGTCCATGGCAACACATCACTATTGATTTCTGTTCACTGCCAAAGGATAAGAAGGGATTCGACAACGTTATGGTCGTGGTCTGCAGACTATCGAAACGCCCTATTTCTGTTCCTTGCCACAAGAAAGTCACCGCGGCGGAGACCGCTCGATTATTTATCACGCATGTCCTGCGATGGACAGGGATGCCAGATTCGGTCGTATCGGATAGAGGTCCTCAGTTTGTCTCGTCATTCTGGTCAGAGTTTTGCAAGATCCTGGGAATCAAGAGGAAGCTTTCCACAGCTCGACATCCGCAAACTGATGGGCAGACGGAAATAACGAATCAATACATTGCTCAGAGGTTGCGACCATACGTGAATTATCATCAGGATGACTGGTCAGACCTACTCCCTCTAATCGATTTAGCCGCTGCGACCGTTCCGTCAGCATCTACGGGTCTATCACCGTTCTTCGTTGAAAAGGGATACGAGCCAAGAATGTCGTTTGACTGGGAGGAAAATACCACCAAAGAGGCGGGGGAACAGGATGCACGATCCTACACCCAGAGGCTGCAGGAAGCGTGGGCCTTGGCACGGGAACAGATGACGAAAGCCCAGACTCGACAGAAAGTACAGGCTGATAAGCACAGACGGGAAGTTGATCTTGACGTGGGTGACCATGTTTATCTGTCGTTGAAAGGTCTAAAACAGGACCGTCCGAGCCAGAAGCTAGCGGATAAAGCAGCAGGGCCTTTCGAGGTAATCAAGAAGGTTGGACACGCGTTTGAACTACGACTACCGGAAGGATTCGCCATACACCCAGTCTTTGCGCCTGAGAAATTACGGCTTGCGAGGAAGAAGTCCTCAGAACCCCTCACCGGTCAGATAGAAGATCCGCCGCCACCAGCCAAGATCGAAGATACCGAAGAATGGGAAGTCGAAGCTATCCTAGACGCTCGCTTACGATATCGGAAGCTGCACTACAGAGTCAAATGGAAGGGATACGACGATGAAGATAGGACCTGGTACCCGGCCGCAAACTTCCGAAATGCTCCGCAGAAGATCAAAGAGTTCCATGAAAGTTATCCTGATAAGCCTGGACCCCCGGCAAGACTCTCCCACTGGATTCAGTGCGCACTGGATGACGAGTACCCAGACGACCATGCAAATGACAACAAACCCGTTCAACGGGGCTGAACGGATCTCAGAGGGGGTGATGTGACACATCAAGTCACCTGGACTGGAACTGGACTGGAACTGCAAGTCACATGGACTGGAACTGAACTGGAAGTGGAAGTGGACTTTGCCACGTGAGAGGAGGGGAAGCGTAGTATATCTTTTCTCTTCTCTCCTTTTGTTTTTCTTCCTTCTTTCTTCTCTTCTCCAGTCTTGTTGTTTTCTTATCTAAGTGAATCGAACACTTCTGTTTTCGAACGATCTTCCTCATAACAGGGTGAATGTCAAATCCTTCCGGTAGTCGTAGTTCGAACGCGTGTCCGATCTTCTTGACCACTTCGAAAGGTCCTGCTGCCTTACCCGCCAACTTCAGGCTTGGGCGGTCCTGTTTTAGTCCTTTCAACGATAGATAAACGTGGTCGCCGACATCAAAATCGACTTCGCGTCTGTGTTTATCCGCTTGCATTTTTTGTCGAGCTTGTGCTTTCGTCATTTGTTCCCGTGCCGAGGCCCACGCTTCTTGCAACTTCTGCGTGTATGATTGAGCCTCTTGCTCGCCAGTTTCCAACTGTTTCCCTGTGCGTTCTCCCCAGTCGAACGACATGCGGGGTTCGTAGCCTCTTTCTATAAAGAATGGCGAGAGTCCCGTAGATGATGACGGGACGGTCGCAGTAGCTAAATCGATCATCGGTAGCCAGTCCGACCAGTCGTCTTGATGGTAGTTAACGTACGCTCGTAACCTCTGGGCGATGTACTGGTTCGCAACTTCCGTTTGTCCATCCGTTTGCGGGTGTCTTGCTGTGGAGAGCTTCCTCCTGATCCCCAGAATCTTACAGAACTCCGACCAGAAGGAAGAGATGAACTGGGGTCCTCGGTCCGACACTACCGAGTCTGGGATTCCTGTCCAACGGAGGACATTGGTCACGTATAATCGAGCAGTGTCTGCGGCGGTCACTTCTTTGTGACAGGGAACAGAGATCGGTCGTTTCGAGAGTCGACACACGACAACCATGATGTTATCGAATCCTTTCTTGTCTTTCGGCAGTGAGCAAAAGTCGATAGCGACATGCTGCCAGGGTCGATCGGGTACTGGCAGTGGCTGAAGAAGTCCAGGCGTTCGGTCTCGCCAGGCCTTTGTCCGCTTACATGTGTGGCAGTTGTCAATATATCGCTGAACATCTCTGAGCCAGCCTGGCCAGTAGCTGGATGGGCCGTGGACGGTTGCCGGTGTATGTCGTCAAGGAGTCGAGCTCGTAAGTCTCCGTCGTCTGGTACCACCAGCCTCCCTCTATGCAACAATAGACCTTCTCGCAATGACCACGTCTCGCCCTGTTCTGCGAGAGCCTTTTCTCGATATTCCTCTAGACTCGCGTGCGCCAGGTTCGCGTCCTTGATTCGTCGTATTAGGTCGCTAGGTTGGCTCGTCAACTCCGACGACCGCTCTGGTGTCTCTTGTGACTGTTCCTGGTTTCGTTCTTGAGCTCGGTCTCGCTCCTGTCTCCTTGTAGTGACTGGAGCCAACTGAACCCATCGTTGTTCGGGTAAGAGTATCTGTTCCTCTGGGTTCATTTGATCGGACAAATCCTTTCTCGATAACGCATCGGCTAGCACATTCTGTCTCCCAGGACGATACTTGATCACGAAATTGTATTCTTCCATCGCTTGGCTCCACCTGATCTGCCTCGCGTTCAGTTTCTTCTTTGTTCGGAACCATTGTAAAGCCTGGTGGTCGGTGAGAACCTCAAAAGGCTGCTGCAGGCTGACAAGCTCTGCTTCCCATTCCTGAAGTGCTCGGATTACTGCGAGTAGTTCCTTGTCATGAATTTCGTAGTTCCTTTCTGCTGGTTCCATCGTTTTTGAGAAGTACGCGATCGGGTGCCATTGCTTGTCTCGTAACTGCTGCGAAAGGACTGCACCGAGTACTTCGTCTGATGCATCCGTTTCGACTCTCGTGGGGGCTTCCGGGTCGTAATGCCCCAGAATCGGCGCTTCAACTAGACGTCTCTTCAATTCCTCAAATGCTCGTTGGCAACTGTCAGTCCAGGCCCACGAGGATTGTTTCTTTGTCAAACCGAACAAGGGTTTCGCCACACGACCGTAGTTCTCGATGAACCGACGGTAGAAGTTGCAGAAACCGAGGAAGGATTGAATGCCTTTCACTGTGGTCGGTGGTTTCCAGTCTCTGATCACCTCGATCTTCTCTGGGTCCGGTCGGATACCCGAAGTACCTACGATAAAACCAAGGAATTTTGTCTCTGGTCGGTGGAATTCACACTTGTGGATAGCCACTTGTAAACCGGCATCCCGCAACTTCTGTAGAACGATCTTGACATGCCTCTCATGGTCTTCCATTGTCTCGCTGAAAATGAGGATGTCGTCGACATACGCCACTGCGTAATCGTCCAGACTTTCGCCAAGTACCGAGTTCATGAATCGCTGGAACGTGGCAGGTCCGTTGGTGAGTCCGAATGGCATAACCTTGTATTTGAAAGAACCGTGTCGAGTACGGAAGGTCGTGAGATCTTCTGTGGCCGGATCCATTCGTATTCTATGGAATCCTTGACGGATATCCAATTTAGTGAAGAATTTCGCCTTGCCCAACCGGTGCAGCATTTCGTCGATGAGGGGTAATGGGTACACGTCCTTCTTCGTGATGGAGTTCAACTTCCTGTAATCCACACAGAATCTTAGTCCTCCACCGGGCTTCTTGGCCATTAGAATCGGCGACGCGAAACGAGCCGAACTTGGAACGATGAATCCTTTTTTCACATTCTCGTAAATGTACGACTTGGCAGCTTCCAGCTGCTCTAACGACATCTTGTACAGAGGACAGTAACCGGGGGTTGTCTTCTCGGTCAGCTCAATCTTGTGGTCTACCCCTTCTCGGTAAGGCGGTAAGGTGTCTGACGCTTTCTTCGAAAATACATCGAGGTAACCATGATACTGTTTTGGGATCTGATCCTTGACTTCCTGTGTATCTTCGGGGACCGAGAGCTTTGCGATGATGTGTTCAATCTCGTGGATGCTAGTTGCGAAGGTCTCTGCTCCCTTCCCTCTTGTTTAGCACACAGCTGGAATCCTGCACTTCCGACTGCTGCTATCGAGAATCCTTGTGGCATAGGCTTCGGTGTGTTCCGTTGTGTGCGACGTTCTTTTCTGACTGGACAGGTGTCTCTGTCTGGCTTAGTCGACATACCGCCTCCAAGCAACGCTCGTTCCATCTTCTTCACCGTATCCTCTGTGTGCGAGTGGTTGTATTCTCTTCGGATTGTTGGATTTGGGTTCTTAGTACTGTCGACTCGCTCCAAAGACGCTTCTAATTTCTCTGCTTTTTCGAATGCTGTGTCTCTTCGGTCTGCATCCTTCTGGTGTCTTGCGCTCGTCTCTTCCGTGGGTCGTTTCAGAATCTGGATCGGAATAGGTCTCGTCATCTGACAAGCAACCTCTTCCTGCATAACTTTCTGTTCCTCACCCCGTGCAGGCTCCGGCCATGCGAGTTGGAGGTTCTTACAATCGATGGTGACGCCTCTATCTGCGCACCAGAGTCTTCCAAGGATCATGTCATGCCGACCCGTGTCGGCGATCAACATGGGTACGTCGATCTGTCGCCTATTGCCCACTATCAGCGGTGCTCGAACACCGTGAGTGATGGGGTTCGCAGGCCTCCCGTCAAAGGCGCACAAGGGTTGGGGCTGTCGGAGTCGTTTCGTACGGAGTCCATAAGGTGTCAGTTTGAGAACTACCCTAGGATGAATCAATGCGTATACATTTGCTCCCGAGTCTACGAGGGCGTCGATCTGGAAAAATAGGGAGCTGACTGATATTTGCGCGGAAACAGTAAAGCTCTTGGTTGACAATAATTTCTCTAGATCAAAGCCCCGAGTGGACTTCGATGAACAGCCTGAGGCAGGCGGAGACTTCCCCCAGACTCACACATTTCCCGAACTCGACGACGAGTCCGAATCCTCGGCATCCCTGAGACGCCTTTCTGTGGCGCTTACTGCCGCCGTCTTCGCCTCCCCACCATTCCCATCTTTGTTTTCTGGGCAGTCCCGACTGAGGTGTCCCTGCTGACGACAAACGAAGCACTTTCCTTCTTTCATAAGTGCCTGCCGCTCAGCATACGTCAGGCTCTGCTTCTGCTCCCCGCTGGGAGTCGTCGTTCGGAATGTGTTGAGAGAACCCTTGTTGTCGTTCTCCGTGTGTGGTCTCGACCTGGACTTTCGGAATCGGGTCGTGGTCTGCATGCATGACAGTCCTAGAGCGCTGCGTCTGCAACTGTCCACAAACTCCTCGAGTGTCACGCGGTCATTAAACGCGTCCGACACCGTCAGCGTCTGAAGATCCGGCACTAGTTTTTCGAACAGATCTCCCTTCTGAAGCTCTTCGTCCGTCTTCGACTCGAGAGCCAGACGGGCGAATTCCCCGTAAAAGAGGTTAAAGCTCTCACCCTCTTTCATTTTCAATTTCTCATATTGTCCCTTGGCGATCTGTCGCTCCATGGGATCCTTGAAAACGATTTGGAGATGATCAAGCATCTCCACCGCGGTCTTGTATCGGTTCGAGACCGTGGGGTCTAGACTCGGTTGAAGCTGTGCCTGAGCTTTACCCGCACAACGAGTAGAGACGTAGGCCATGCGGTGTCTCTCCGACGGATAGTGGTCGGCATTCAGCATCAGCTTGTTTTCGACCGCACGTCGCCAGGGCGTGAACTTTACACTGACGCCGTCATCTAAGATTGGGGCATCTGGCACCTTCGCACTGCGCTTCCCTCCTCCCGACGAAGTCTGTGTGGCGGGCGAGGAAGCGGTTCTCTCCAGTTCGCGTACTCTCTCTGTGAGCAATTGGCGTTGCTGCTGGACAAACGTCAGGTACGCGAGTGCGTGGTTCGAGTCTGCATGAATCCAAGAGATCAATGCCTCCTCGTCGCGGATAATCAACGGCTCTTTTGTCTGGGTGCGGACGTGCAGTTCATACTGCTGTCGCGGTACGCTGGACGGACCCGGTACCGGCGTGGATCTCGCGGAAAAGGAAGGCTGCGTTGCCTCTCCAGTCTGCGGCAAAGGAGCGCCATGCTCGTGGGTCTCCTCCGGTTCTTCGTCGGGCTGTATTCTTCTCTTGCCCGATCGCGTCGTTGACATTTTTCGTTTTCTTCGATTCTGTGGTTCGGTTCTGTTTCTGGTTCGGTTCTGTGGTTCGGTTCTGTGGTCTACCGGAACGTCAAGACCGCTGTGCGAGGGCACGCAGATGGCGTTCACGAGGTAGATAAAAAAAATAAAAGAAAAGTGAGTCTTGTTGTAGTGTGATGACGAAGGTTGTGAATGCGAGTTCAATTCCTTTTACCTAAGACAACAAGACTAGAGAGGAAAGAAAAGAGAAGAAGAGAGAAGAAAAAAGGGGTAAAGAACAATACAGCCGAGATCCTCCTATCACGTGATACCTCCCTTCCTCCTAGTCCTCGTTCTATGTGCTCTCGTCACATCGGACCCCAGAGAAGTCCTTTGTCGTTCAGCATGCCCACAAGCTTATTATCAATTTGACAATTTCAATCCAATCTTTCTCACTGATATCGTCGTTGGACGCGCCGGGATTGGACTCTTTGACAAGACGCTGGTTGGCCTGACGATACAGAACAAAACAATTCGGCTTCGGGGGTGTAACCAGGTTGGCAAACCGATAAATAGCCTTGCTGGCCTCTTTGATGCTGTAATCTTGCAGTTCCGGAGCCGGCGTTCTCTCATTGCGGTCCTTGTCTGTGGTGCTAAGGTACCAGGAGTCCAAAGACTCGTCGAAGTGCATGTAAGCAATTCCATTGTTCATGTTGCTGTCATGGTCAGTAATATAAGCAAAAGATTCGAGACTCAGACTCACCACAATCGCCTGTACATCTCCTGGAGGTTATCCATGCCGAGGACATTCCGGACGATGTTATTGGGGACAAGGATTTGACCCTTAGCGGCCTCGATGTTCTGCATTGCCTCACACCAAAGGATCTCGAGGCAACGGCCAGGAGGCATGTCCTTGGGGTCATTAGTGATTGGAGAAGTGGACATCTTGAATGACACGCCAGCAATGGAAGTAAAGAAATGCTAGAGAAGGATATGGAGTGATGAGTGGAAGATGGGAGTGAGGAGCGGGTTGAAGAAGTCGAAAGGGGTGAAGAGAAGAAGAAGAAGAAGAAGAAGAAGAAAGGAGAAACAAAGGGAGAAGATAAACAAATAAATAGTCGAGGGGGAACTGTCATGCCGATTGGTATCTTAAGCGTTGATCTGACTTCTTTGTCTATGAAAGTCTTTGTCGACTTTCTTTGTTGACCTTGACCTATTTGCTCCTTCCCAGCCTCGGCCTTTTTAATGGTTGCTAGGGAAATCTGTCGTATTTGTTGCGATACTTGCTACTTCCCAGCCTTGTCGATTTTCTTTGTTCACCGTTTGCTCCTTCCCAGCCTCGGTCCTTTTATGGGTTGCTAGGGAAATCTGCTATATTTCTTGCCGTATTTGCTACTACCCAGCCTCTCCTGTTTTCCATTGGCTGTTGAAGACTTTCCGATTCAGGAAGTTCGCCAGCACCAGACAAGTCATATGGTCGTCGGTATAGTAGATTTGAAATAGAGATACATCTCGAGGAGGTACCTCACGACTCTTCAACTAGGTGATCTAGGCCTTATAATTATTCAATGCTTTACTGGAATCCCTTCCCAATTAACCATAAACGGATTAAATGTATTTGTGTAATTGGAAGCCCAATGCGGAATTTAAAGTTGTCCGTAGACGCGGGCGCTAAACCCCGGATCTGCGGCGCCACGTGGGCCGGATCTGCGGCCCGAGTTCTAACAACATGGGTGTCGAACTGGTACCTGACATCGAAGTCACTCTTCGTCTGGAGCTGTAATATCCTATGACATCCGTATTAAACTTCCATTGTCTGGTGGGTCCTGCGTATTTGTTCTTCGGGGCTGGGTTATGTTTCCTATCCGAACAAAGAAATCACGCGTTTGGTTTCTGCCCCACTAAACAAAGAAACAAAGAAACAAAGAAACCACCACCGGCCACCACAGTTCCCCCTCGACTATTTATTTGTTTATCTTCTCCATTTGTTTCTCCTTTCTTCTTCTTCTTCTTCTTCTTCTTTCTTTTTTCTCTTCATCCTTTCTTCTTCTTCGTCCTCCTCTTTTTCCTCTTCATCCCCTTTCGTTTTCTTCAATCCGCTCCCCACCAATATCTCTATTCTACCAATTACTTTTCAAATGGCTGACCAAATGGCTGACCAAGAAAGTTCCCTGCTTGGAACTACCATTCCGATAGGGGCGGAGGAAATCCACTCCGAGATGCTGTTTCTTCGCTACATTGAGACCCTATCTTTGCCGCATGCTTGCAAGCTGATTGTTAGATGGAACGCTCATCCGTCGCCCGATGAGTACATCGCAAAGATTCTGCGGGAGCTTCCGAGAGGCTACTTTCAGCATCCACGCCTCCTCCCAAGTGGGACACGCTTTGTGTATGCCGACGATGGGCACCTAGTGTTGAAGCGAATGAACAGACCACTGCCTATGCAGCAACTGCACCAGGACTCCACTCTCGGATTCGTTGGAACGTCTGAGCCACTCCTCCCTGCGCCCATGCCGCAGCGACGACTGAGACCGCTCAACAGTTTCATGGTCTTTAGGAGTAAGTCTTCCTTGGTTTTCACGAAGAGAAAGATCCTCTAACAATATTTAAGGCTACCTGTCTCCGGAATTTCCGGGCCTCCCGCAAAAGGTGAAGTCCATCGCTATCAGTGCAATGTGGCAGGATGATGTCCTGAAAGAACAATGGGTCATTATGGCCAAGGCATACACCATCCTCCGGGACCACTTCCATATGTTGGGCACTTTCAGTCTTCCTGATTTCGTTCAGATGGCTGCTGGAATGATGGCTCTTCCGGCTTCTAGCGAGTACATCGTCCGGTGTGGCTGGAACGTTAAAAAGCTGGGATCTTCTGTTAGCGTCACAAGGGCTCCTCATGGTGACTACAAGCTTCCACCTATGGCACCTCCCGCCCAGGTCACCGTCAAAGAGCTTGTTAATGCTGTGAGGCAAGCGGGTCACGCCATCCCGCATGTCGGAGAGTGGCCACTGCACATCGAAGATGATGGTTCTGTCTATGCTATTGACCCCAACCTTGGAACTCTTATCCCTGAACCACAGGATTGGGTCCTCAGAGACGTTCCACGATGGCCTATCGAAGAATTTGAGGCGGATGAAATGTACAGTATTTTGCATCCCGAGCATGATCAGAATATTTCACCTATTGGCCTGCCCAGCAACGACCCGCGTGAGCCCGAGTTTGGACTTGAGGGTGCTTACCAGCATTAATTCACGCTGTGGACATCAACGGGGCACCAAGCAGTCCCATTTACATGGGCTGTTCTTACGACAAGTTGCCTCTGTTGTTACCCACCAACAAAAAAAATCACAACAACAAAAAAAAATCAAAAAAAAACGCACAAAAAAAAATTACACAGAAAAAAAAAACAGAAAAAAAAAGCGGACGGGACTGGATGCTGACTTAGTCGGCACTCCAGGTGGATTGAATACTTGTACGATTTTTACTTTACCTCTCTCACGACAATTTTCCAAGAGCAAGGACAGGTTTTTCAGGCTGTAGGGTCTTTTCCTGAACCTTCTCTTTCCGTGTGAGCAGCAGGCCTTTCCATAGCTTTAGCTAATGAAGATATGTAAGATGCCAAAAAACCTACTCTCCTCTTTAGATTGTAGAGATTCAAGTAGAAACGTAGAAATGAATAGTAGGCATGGTCAGTAATAACTATTATCTGCATGCTACTTGCATCTTATTCTTCAGTACATGAATGCTCTACACAACGACTCATCCAAATACCATATCGTCCTAGCCATATACATAGCCCAATATACCCCGGACTTTCGCTCTACCAATGCTTGAGACGTCTATGACGCTTCAATCTCGAAGTCCCAACCCCAAGTAGTGCTCAGATACTCGCCCCTTTGTCTGCTATTGATGAGGTGACGTCTCGATACCCTTTGTTGACAGCCGCCGCTAGTGGAGCCCACCCTTGGGATCGACATGCAATGATGCACTGCATCCGCGGATCCACCAGTCGGGTGTGGAGACGGGTCTTGGCATGCCACGCTATGCAGGGGACATGCTGGGTCAGCTGGGACCGTGCGACAACATGCGACTTGCCATGCGACTTGCCATGCGACTTGCCATGCGACTTGCCATGCGACTTGCCATGCGACTTGCCATGCGACTTGCCATGCGACTTGCCATGCGACTTGCCATGCGACTTGCCATGCGACTTGCCATGCGACTGGCACGCGGCAGCCATGCGGGCTGTGCCACCATGCGCTTTAGATGTACCATGGGTGTTCTATTGGTGCCAAGACTCGGACGCGGATGCAAGGCAGGTGGACTTCTTTACGCTTATTTGAGGACTTGGGTAAGTTGCTCTGCAATTCGCTATGGAAATTCAGAACTTGAACTAACTACGTGCCTTCAGCTCCAGAGCCGGCGTTCTCTCATTGCGGTACTTGTCTGTGGTGCTAAGGCACCAGGCGCCCAAAGACTCGTCGAAGTGCATGTAAGCAGTTCCATTGTTCATATTGCTGTCATGGTCAGTAATATAAGCAAAAGATTCGAGACTCAGACTCACCGCAATCGCCTGTACATCTCCTCGAGGTTATCCATGCCGAGGGCATTCTGGACGATGTTATTCTCGACTATTTATTTGTTTATCTTCTCCCTTTGTTTCTCCTTTCTTCTTCTTCTTCTTCTTCTCTTCACCCCCTTTCGACTTCTTCAACCCGCTCCCCACTCCCATCTTCCACTCATCACTCCATATCCTTCTCTAGCATTTCTTTACTTCCATTGCTGGCGTGTCATTCAAGATGTTCACTTCTCCACTCACTAATGACCCCAAGGACATGCCTCCTGGCCGTTGCCTCGAGATCCTTTGGTGTGAGGCAATGCAGAACATCGAGGCCGCTAAGGGTCAAATCCTTGTCCCCAATAACATCGTCCAGAATGCCCTCGGCATGGATAACCTCGAGGAGATGTACAGGCGATTGCGGTGAGTCTGAGTCTCGAATCTTTTGCTTATATTACTGACCATGACAGCAATATGAACAATGGAACTGCTTACATGCACTTCGACGAGTCTTTGGGCGCCTGGTGCCTTAGCACCACAGACAAGTACCGCAATGAGAGAACGCCGGCTCTGGAGCTGAAGGCACGTAGTTAGTTCAAGTTCTGAATTTCCATAGCGAATTGCAGAGCAACTTACCCAAGTCCTCAAATAAGCGTAAAGAAGTCCACCTGCCTTGCATCCGCGTCCGAGTCTTGGCACCAATAGAACACCCATGGTACATCTAAAGCGCATGGTGGCACAGCCCGCATGGCTGCCGCGTGCCAGTCGCATGGCAAGTCGCATGGCAAGTCGCATGGCAAGTCGCATGGCAAGTCGCATGTTGTCGCACGGTCCCAGCTGACCCAGCATGTCCCCTGCATAGCGTGGCATGCCAAGACCCGTCTCCACACCCGACTGGTGGATCCGCGGATGCAGTGCATCATTGCATGTCGATCCCAAGGGTGGGCTCCACTAGCGGCGGCTGTCAACAAAGGGTATCGAGACGTCACCTCATCAATAGCAGACAAAGGGGCGAGTATCTGAGCACTACTTGGGGTTGGGACTTCGAGATTGAAGCGTCATAGACGTCTCAAGCATTGGTAGAGCGAAAGTCCGGGGTATATTGGGCTATGTATATGGCTAGGACGATATGGTATTTGGATGAGTCGTTGTGTAGAGCATTCATGTACTGAAGAATAAGATGCAAGTAGCATGCAGATAATAGTTATTACTGACCATGCCTACTATTCATTTCTACGTTTCTACTTGAATCTCTACAATCTAAAGAGGAGAGTAGGTTTTTTGGCATCTTACATATCTTCATTAGCTAAAGCTATGGAAAGGCCTGCTGCTCACACGGAAAGAGAAGGTTCAGGAAAAGACCCTACAGCCTGAAAAACCTGTCCTTGCTCTTGGAAAATTGTCGTGAGAGAGGTAAAGTAAAAATCGTACAAGTATTCAATCCACCTGGAGTGCCGACTAAGTCAGCATCCAGTCCCGTCCGCTTTTTTTTTCTGTTTTTTTTTTCTGTGTAATTTTTTTTTGTGCGTTTTTTTTTGATTTTTTTTTGTTGTTGTGATTTTTTTTGTTGGTGGGTAACAACAGAGGCAACTTGTCGTAAGAACAGCCCATGTAAATGGGACTGCTTGGTGCCCCGTTGATGTCCACAGCGTGAATTAATGCTGGTAAGCACCCTCAAGTCCAAACTCGGGCTCACGCGGGTCGTTGCTGGGCAGGCCAATAGGTGAAATATTCTGATCATGCTCGGGATGCAAAATACTGTACATTTCATCCGCCTCAAATTCTTCGATAGGCCATCGTGGAACGTCTCTGAGGACCCAATCCTGTGGTTCAGGGATAAGAGTTCCAAGGTTGGGGTCAATAGCATAGACAGAACCATCATCTTCGATGTGCAGTGGCCACTCTCCGACATGCGGGATGGCGTGACCCGCTTGCCTCACAGCATTAACAAGCTCTTTGACGGTGACCTGGGCGGGAGGTGCCATAGGTGGAAGCTTGTAGTCACCATGAGGAGCCCTTGTGACGCTAACAGAAGATCCCAGCTTTTTAACGTTCCAGCCACACCGGACGATGTACTCGCTAGAAGCCGGAAGAGCCATCATTCCAGCAGCCATCTGAACGAAATCAGGAAGACTGAAAGTGCCCAACATATGGAAGTGGTCCCGGAGGATGGTGTATGCCTTGGCCATAATGACCCATTGTTCTTTCAGGACATCATCCTGCCACATTGCACTGATAGCGATGGACTTCACCTTTTGCGGGAGGCCCGGAAATTCCGGAGACAGGTAGCCTTAAATATTGTTAGAGGATCTTTCTCTTCGTGAAAACCAAGGAAGACTTACTCCTAAAGACCATGAAACTGTTGAGCGGTCTCAGTCGTCGCTGCGGCATGGGCGCAGGGAGGAGTGGCTCAGACGTTCCAACGAATCCGAGAGTGGAGTCCTGGTGCAGTTGCTGCATAGGCAGTGGTCTGTTCATTCGCTTCAACACTAGGTGCCCATCGTCGGCATACACAAAGCGTGTCCCACTTGGGAGGAGGCGTGGATGCTGAAAGTAGCCTCTCGGAAGCTCCCGCAGAATCTTTGCGATGTACTCATCGGGCGACGGATGAGCGTTCCATCTAACAATCAGCTTGCAAGCATGCGGCAAAGATAGGGTCTCAATGTAGCGAAGAAACAGCATCTCGGAGTGGATTTCCTCCGCCCCTATCGGAATGGTAGTTCCAAGCAGGGAACTTTCTTGGTCAGCCATTTGGTCAGCCATTTGAAAAGTAATTGGTAGAATAGAGATATTGGTGGGGAGCGGATTGAAGAAAACGAAAGGGGATGAAGAGGAAAAAGAGGAGGACGAAGAAGAAGAAAGGATGAAGAGAAAAAAGAAAGAAGAAGAAGAAGAAGAAGAAGAAAGGAGAAACAAATGGAGAAGATAAACAAATAAATAGTCGAGGGGGAACTGTGGTGGCCGGTGGTGGTTTCTTTGTTTCTTTGTTTCTTTGTTTAGTGGGGCAGAAACCAAACGCGTGATTTCTTTGTTCGGATAGGAAACATAACCCAGCCCCGAAGAACAAATACGCAGGACCCACCAGACAATGGAAGTTTAATACGGATGTCATAGGATATTACAGCTCCAGACGAAGAGTGACTTCGATGTCAGGTACCAGTTCGACACCCATGTTGTTAGAACTCGGGCCGCAGATCCGGCCCACGTGGCGCCGCAGATCCGGGGTTTAGCGCCCGCGTCTACGGACAACTTTAAATTCCGCATTGGGCTTCCAATTACACAAATACATTTAATCCGTTTATGGTTAATTGGGAAGGGATTCCAGTAAAGCATTGAATAATTATAAGGCCTAGATCACCTAGTTGAAGAGTCGTGAGGTACCTCCTCGAGATGTATCTCTATTTCAAATCTACTATACCGACGACCATATGACTTGTCTGGTGCTGGCGAACTTCCTGAATCGGAAAGTCTTCAACAGCCAATGGAAAACAGGAGAGGCTGGGTAGTAGCAAATACGGCAAGAAATATAGCAGATTTCCCTAGCAACCCATAAAAGGACCGAGGCTGGGAAGGAGCAAACGGTGAACAAAGAAAATCGACAAGGCTGGGAAGTAGCAAGTATCGCAACAAATACGACAGATTTCCCTAGCAACCATTAAAAAGGCCGAGGCTGGGAAGGAGCAAATAGGTCAAGGTCAACAAAGAAAGTCGACAAAGACTTTCATAGACAAAGAAGTCAGATCAACGCTTAAGATACCAATCGGCATGACAGTTCCCCCTCGACTATTTATTTGTTTATCTTCTCCCTTTGTTTCTCCTTTCTTCTTCTTCTTCTTCTTCTTCTCTTCACCCCTTTCGACTTCTTCAACCCGCTCCTCACTCCCATCTTCCACTCATCACTCCATATCCTTCTCTAGCATTTCTTTACTTCCATTGCTGGCGTGTCATTCAAGATGTCCACTTCTCCAATCACTAATGACCCCAAGGACATGCCTCCTGGCCGTTGCCTCGAGATCCTTTGGTGTGAGGCAATGCAGAACATCGAGGCCGCTAAGGGTCAAATCCTTGTCCCCAATAACATCGTCCGGAATGTCCTCGGCATGGATAACCTCCAGGAGATGTACAGGCGATTGTGGTGAGTCTGAGTCTCGAATCTTTTGCTTATATTACTGACCATGACAGCAACATGAACAATGGAATTGCTTACATGCACTTCGACGAGTCTTTGGACTCCTGGTACCTTAGCACCACAGACAAGGACCGCAATGAGAGAACGCCGGCTCCGGAACTGCAAGATTACAGCATCAAAGAGGCCAGCAAGGCTATTTATCGGTTTGCCAACCTGGTTACACCCCCGAAGCCGAATTGTTTTGTTCTGTATCGTCAGGCCAACCAGCGTCTTGTCAAAGAGTCCAATCCCGGCGCGTCCAACGACGATATCAGTGAGAAAGATTGGATTGAAATTGTCAAATTGATAATAAGCTTGTGGGCATGCTGAACGACAAAGGACTTCTCTGGGGTCCGATGTGACGAGAGCACATAGAACGAGGACTAGGAGGAAGGGAGGTATCACGTGATAGGAGGATCTCGGCTGTATTGTTCTTTACCCCTTTTTTTCTTCTCTCTTCTTCTCTTTTCTTTCCTCTCTAGTCTTGTTGTCTTAGGTAAAAGGAATTGAACTCGCATTCACAACCTTCGTCATCACACTACAACAAGACTCACTTTTCTTTTATTTTTTTTATCTACCTCGTGAACGCCATCTGCGTGCCCTCGCACAGCGGTCTTGACGTTCCGGTAGACCACAGAACCGAACCACAGAACCGAACCAGAAACAGAACCGAACCACAGAATCGAAGAAAACGAAAAATGTCAACGACGCGATCGGGCAAGAGAAGAATACAGCCCGACGAAGAACCGGAGGAGACCCACGAGCATGGCGCTCCTTTGCCGCAGACTGGAGAGGCAACGCAGCCTTCCTTTTCCGCGAGATCCACGCCGGTACCGGGTCCGTCCAGCGTACCGCGACAGCAGTATGAACTGCACGTCCGCACCCAGACAAAAGAGCCGTTGATTATCCGCGACGAGGAGGCATTGATCTCTTGGATTCATGCAGACTCGAACCACGCACTCGCGTACCTGACGTTTGTCCAGCAGCAACGCCAATTGCTCACAGAGAGAGTACGCGAACTGGAGAGAACCGCTTCCTCGCCCGCCACACAGACTTCGTCGGGAGGAGGGAAGCGCAGTGCGAAGGTGCCAGATGCCCCAATCTTAGATGACGGCGTCAGTGTAAAGTTCACGCCCTGGCGACGTGCGGTCGAAAACAAGCTGATGCTGAATGCCGACCACTATCCGTCGGAGAGACACCGCATGGCCTACGTCTCTACTCGTTGTGCGGGTAAAGCTCAGGCACAGCTTCAACCGAGTCTAGACCCCACGGTCTCGAACCGATACAAGACCGCGGTGGAGATGCTTGATCATCTCCAAATCGTTTTCAAGGATCCCATGGAGCGACAGATCGCCAAGGGACAATATGAGAAATTGAAAATGAAAGAGGGTGAGAGCTTTAACCTCTTTTACGGGGAATTCGCCCGTCTGGCTCTCGAGTCGAAGACGGACGAAGAGCTTCAGAAGGGAGATCTGTTCGAAAAACTAGTGCCGGATCTTCAGACGCTGACGGTGTCGGACGCGTTTAATGACCGCGTGACACTCGAGGAGTTTGTGGACAGTTGCAGACGCAGCGCTCTAGGACTGTCATGCATGCAGACCACGACCCGATTCCGAAAGTCCAGGTCGAGACCACACACGGAGAACGACAACAAGGGTTCTCTCAACACATTCCGAACGACGACTCCCAGCGGGGAGCAGAAGCAGAGCCTGACGTATGCTGAGCGGCAGGCACTTATGAAAGAAGGAAAGTGCTTCGTTTGTCGTCAGCAGGGACACCTCAGTCGGGACTGCCCAGAAAACAAAGATGGGAATGGTGGGGAGGCGAAGACGGCGGCAGTAAGCGCCACAGAAAGGCGTCTCAGGGATGCCGAGGATTCGGACTCGTCGTCGAGTTCGGGAAATGTGTGAGTCTGGGGGAAGTCTCCGCCTGCCTCAGGCTGTTCATCGAAGTCCACTCGGGGCTTTGATCTAGAGAAATTATTGTCAACCAAGAGCTTTACTGTTTCCGCGCAAATATCAGTCAGCTCCCTATTTTTCCAGATCGACGCCCTCGTAGACTCGGGAGCAAATGTATACGCATTGATTCATCCTAGGGTAGTTCTCAAACTGACACCTTATGGACTCCGTACGAAACGACTCCGACAGCCCCAACCCTTGTGCGCCTTTGACGGGAGGCCTGCGAACCCCATCACTCACGGTGTTCGAGCACCGCTGATAGTGGGCAATAGGCGACAGATCGACGTACCCATGTTGATCGCCGACACGGGTCGGCATGACATGATCCTTGGAAGACTCTGGTGCGCAGATAGAGGCGTCACCATCGATTGTAAGAACCTCCAACTCGCATGGCCGGAGCCTGCACGGGGTGAGGAACAGAAAGTTATGCAGGAAGAGGTTGCTTGTCAGATGACGAGACCTATTCCGATCCAGATTCTGAAACGACCCACGGAAGAGACGAGCGCAAGACACCAGAAGGATGCAGACCGAAGAGACACAGCATTCGAAAAAGCAGAGAAATTAGAAGCGTCTTTGGAGCGAGTCGACAGTACTAAGAACCCAAATCCAACAATCCGAAGAGAATACAACCACTCGCACACAGAGGATACGGTGAAGAAGATGGAACGAGCGTTGCTTGGAGGCGGTATGTCGACTAAGCCAGACAGAGACACCTGTCCAGTCAGAAAAGAACGTCGCACACAACGGAACACACCGAAGCCTATGCCACAAGGATTCTCGATAGCAGCAGTCGGAAGTGCAGGATTCCAGCTGTGTGCTAAACAAGAGGGAAGGGAGCAGAGACCTTCGCAACTAGCATCCACGAGATTGAACACATCATCGCAAAGCTCTCGGTCCCCGAAGATACACAGGAAGTCAAGGATCAGATCCCAAAACAGTATCATGGTTACCTCGATGTATTTTCGAAGAAAGCGTCAGACACCTTACCGCCTTACCGAGAAGGGGTAGACCACAAGATTGAGCTGACCGAGAAGACAACCCCCGGTTACTGTCCTCTGTACAAGATGTCGTTAGAGCAGCTGGAAGCTGCCAAGTCGTACATTTACGAGAATGTGAAAAAAGGATTCATCGTTCCAAGTTCGGCTCGTTTCGCGTCGCCGATTCTAATGGCCAAGAAGCCCGGTGGAGGACTAAGATTCTGTGTGGATTACAGGAAGTTGAACTCCATCACGAAGAAGGACGTGTACCCATTACCCCTCATCGACGAAATGCTGCACCGGTTGGGCAAGGCGAAATTCTTCACTAAATTGGATATCCGTCAAGGATTCCATAGAATACGAATGGATCCGGCCACAGAAGATCTCACGACCTTCCGTACTCGACACGGTTCTTTCAAATACAAGGTTATGCCATTCGGACTCACCAACGGACCTGCCACGTTCCAGCGATTCATGAACTCGGTACTTGGCGAAAGTCTGGACGATTACGCAGTGGCGTATGTCGACGACATCCTCATTTTCAGCGAGACAATGGAAGACCATGAGAGGCATGTCAAGATCGTTCTACAGAAGTTGCGGGATGCCGGTTTACAAGTGGCTATCCACAAGTGTGAATTCCACCGACCAGAGACAAAATTCCTTGGTTTTATCGTAGGTACTTCGGGTATCCGACCGGACCCAGAGAAGATCGAGGTGATCAGAGACTGGAAACCACCGACCACAGTGAAAGGCATTCAATCCTTCCTCGGTTTCTGCAACTTCTACCGTCGGTTCATCGAGAACTACGGTCGTGTGGCGAAACCCTTGTTCGGTTTGACAAAGAAACAATCCTCGTGGGCCTGGACTGACAGTTGCCAACGAGCATTTGAGGAATTGAAGAGACGTCTAGTTGAAGCGCCGATTCTGGGGCATTACGACCCGGAAGCCCCCACGAGAGTCGAAACGGATGCATCAGACGAAGTACTCGGTGCAGTCCTTTCGCAGCAGTTACGAGACAAGCAATGGCACCCGATCGCGTACTTCTCAAAAACGATGGAACCAGCAGAAAGGAACTACGAAATTCATGACAAGGAACTACTCGCAGTAATCCGAGCACTTCAGGAATGGGAAGCAGAGCTTGTCAGCCTGCAGCAGCCTTTTGAGGTTCTCACCGACCACCAGGCTTTACAATGGTTCCGAACAAAGAAGAAACTGAACGCGAGGCAGATCAGGTGGAGCCAAGCGATGGAAGAATACAATTTCGTGATCAAGTATCGTCCTGGGAGACAGAATGTGCTAGCCGATGCGTTATCGAGAAAGGATTTGTCCGATCAAATGAACCCAGAGGAACAGATACTCTTACCCGAACAACGATGGGTTCAGTTGGCTCCAGTCACTACAAGGAGACAGGAGCGAGACCGAGCTCAAGAACGAAACCAGGAACAGTCACAAGAGACACCAGAGCGGTCGTCGGAGTTGACGAGCCAACCTAGCGACCTAATACGACGAATCAAGGACGCGAACCTGGCGCACGCGAGTCTAGAGGAATATCGAGAAAAGGCTCTCGCAGAACAGGGCGAGACGTGGTCATTGCGAGAAGGTCTATTGTTGCATAGAGGGAGGCTGGTGGTACCAGACGACGGAGACTTACGAGCTCGACTCCTTGACGACATACACCGGCAACCGTCCACGGCCCATCCAGCTACTGGCCAGGCTGGCTCAGAGATGTTCAGCGATATATTGACAACTGCCACACATGTAAGCGGACAAAGGCCTGGCGAGACCGAACGCCTGGACTTCTTCAGCCACTGCCAGTACCCGATCGACCCTGGCAGCATGTCGCTATCGACTTTTGCTCACTGCCGAAAGACAAGAAAGGATTCGATAACATCATGGTTGTCGTGTGTCGACTCTCGAAACGACCGATCTCTGTTCCCTGTCACAAAGAAGTGACCGCCGCAGACACTGCTCGATTATACGTGACCAATGTCCTCCGTTGGACAGGAATCCCAGACTCGGTAGTGTCGGACCGAGGACCCCAGTTCATCTCTTCCTTCTGGTCGGAGTTCTGTAAGATTCTGGGGATCAGGAGGAAGCTCTCCACAGCAAGACACCCGCAAACGGATGGACAAACGGAAGTTGCGAACCAGTACATCGCCCAGAGGTTACGAGCGTACGTTAACTACCATCAAGACGACTGGTCGGACTGGCTACCGATGATCGATTTAGCTACTGCGACCGTCCCGTCATCATCTACGGGACTCTCGCCATTCTTTATAGAAAGAGGCTACGAACCCCGCATGTCGTTCGACTGGGGAGAACGCACAGGGAAACAGTTGGAAACTGGCGAGCAAGAGGCTCAATCATACACGCAGAAGTTGCAAGAAGCGTGGGCCTCGGCACGGGAACAAATGACGAAAGCACAAGCTCGACAAAAAATGCAAGCGGATAAACACAGACGCGAAGTCGATTTTGATGTCGGCGACCACGTTTATCTATCGTTGAAAGGACTAAAACAGGACCGCCCAAGCCTGAAGTTGGCGGGTAAGGCAGCAGGACCTTTCGAAGTGGTCAAGAAGATCGGACACGCGTTCGAACTACGACTACCGGAAGGATTTGACATTCACCCTGTTATGAGGAAGATCGTTCGAAAACAGAAGTGTTCGATTCACTTAGATAAGAAAACAACAAGACTGGAGAAGAGAAGAAAGAAGGAAGAAAAACAAAAGGAGAGAAGAGAAAAGATATACTACGCTTCCCCTCCTCTCACGTGGCAAAGTCCACTTCCACTTCCAGTTCAGTTCCAGTCCATGTGACTTGCAGTTCCAGTCCAGTTCCAGTCCAGGTGACTTGATGTGTCACATCACCCCCCTCTGAGATCCGTTCAGCCCCGTTGAACGGGTTTGTTGTCATTTGCATGGTCGTCTGGGTACTCGTCATCCAGTGCGCACTGAATCCAGTGGGAGAGTCTTGCCGGGGGTCCAGGCTTATCAGGATAACTTTCATGGAACTCTTTGATCTTCTGCGGAGCATTTCGGAAGTTTGCGGCCGGGTACCAGGTCCTATCTTCATCGTCGTATCCCTTCCATTTGACTCTGTAGTGCAGCTTCCGATATCGTAAGCGAGCGTCTAGGATAGCTTCGACTTCCCATTCTTCGGTATCTTCGATCTTGGCTGGTGGCGGCGGATCTTCTATCTGACCGGTGAGGGGTTCTGAGGACTTCTTCCTCGCAAGCCGTAATTTCTCAGGCGCAAAGACTGGGTGTATGGCGAATCCTTCCGGTAGTCGTAGTTCAAACGCGTGTCCAACCTTCTTGATTACCTCGAAAGGCCCTGCTGCTTTATCCGCTAGCTTCTGGCTCGGACGGTCCTGTTTTAGACCTTTCAACGACAGATAAACATGGTCACCCACGTCAAGATCAACTTCCCGTCTGTGCTTATCAGCCTGTACTTTCTGTCGAGTCTGGGCTTTCGTCATCTGTTCCCGTGCCAAGGCCCACGCTTCCTGCAGCCTCTGGGTGTAGGATCGTGCATCCTGTTCCCCCGCCTCTTTGGTGGTATTTTCCTCCCAGTCAAACGACATTCTTGGCTCGTATCCCTTTTCAACGAAGAACGGTGATAGACCCGTAGATGCTGACGGAACGGTCGCAGCGGCTAAATCGATTAGAGGGAGTAGGTCTGACCAGTCATCCTGATGATAATTCACGTATGGTCGCAACCTCTGAGCAATGTATTGATTCGTTATTTCCGTCTGCCCATCAGTTTGCGGATGTCGAGCTGTGGAAAGCTTCCTCTTGATTCCCAGGATCTTGCAAAACTCTGACCAGAATGACGAGACAAACTGAGGACCTCTATCCGATACGACCGAATCTGGCATCCCTGTCCATCGCAGGACATGCGTGATAAATAATCGAGCGGTCTCCGCCGCGGTGACTTTCTTGTGGCAAGGAACAGAAATAGGGCGTTTCGATAGTCTGCAGACCACGACCATAACGTTGTCGAATCCCTTCTTATCCTTTGGCAGTGAACAGAAATCAATAGTGATGTGTTGCCATGGACGGTCAGGCGCAGGTAGCGGCTGGAGTAGCCCAGGGGTGCGATCTCTCCACGCTTTCGTTCGTTTGCAGGTGTGGCAGTTGTCGATGTATCGTTGCACGTCCTTGAGCCAGCCTGGCCAGTAGTAGCGGGCAGAGAGTAACTTCGCGGTCTTATCGACGCCTGGGTGGGCAGTAGAGGGCTGACGATGCACTTCATCAAGGAGTCTTGCTCGTAGGTCTCCTTCATCCGGGACTACTAATTTTCCTCTGTGTAGTTGTTACGGCATGTGGGCCTGACACCACCTACCGAACGTAAGTCCAGGCGTTAACCAAAAAGACCACTATGACAACTAACTAGTTGTCATGTCAGGTTTCCAATTCATACCCACAGTACAGGATCTTAACAGTAGTAGTAGTCCTTCCCGTAGTGACCATGGTTCAGTTTCCTCCGCTAGTGCCTTTTCCCGAAACTCATCCAGACTCTCATGTGCCAGGTTCGCTTCTTTGATTCGCCGAATAAGCTCATCTTCTGGATGTTCTGTTTGCTCTACTGACTGCTCCGATGGCTGCTCCGATGGCTGCTCCGATGGCTGCTCCGATGGCTGCTCCGATGGCTGCTCCGATGGCTGCTCCGATGGCTGCTCCGATGACTGCTCCGATGGCTGCTCCGATGGCTGCTCCGATGGCTGCTCCGATGGCTGCTCCGTTGGCTGCTCCGTTGTTCGAACTTGCTGTCTCGTGGTAACAGGTGCTAGGTAGGCCCACCGCTTTTCAGGCAGGAGTACCTGGTCCGTCGAGTCTGTCCGATCCGATAAGTCTTTCCTTGATAGTGCGTCCGCTAGCACGTTCTGCTTTCCTGGACGGTATTGGATCGTGAAGTTAAATCCTTCCATCAGCTGGCTCCATCGAATCTGTCTTGCATTCAGCTTCTTCTTTGTTCGGAACCACTGTAACGCCTGATGATCCGTAAGAATTTCGAAAGGTTGCTGCAAGCTGATAAGTTCCGCCTCCCACTCTTGTAACGCTCTGATAATTGCAAGCAACTCCTTATCATGGATCTCGTAGTTCTTCTCTGCTGGTTCCATCGTTCGAGAGAAATACGCGATTGGGTGCCAGTGTCCGTCTCGTAACTGCTGTGTGAGAACCGCTCCGAGTACCTCATCGGACGCATCGGTTTCGATCCTAGTGGGTGCTTCTGGGTTGTAGTGCGCGAGGATTGGTGCGTCCACTAATCTCCTCTTCAATTCTTCAAATGCCTGTCCACACAGGTCTGTCCAATTCCACAAGGATTGCTTCTTTGTCAGCCCATACAAGGGCTTTGCCACGCGGCTGTAGTTTGCGATGAATCGCCGGTAAAAGTTACAGAACCCCAGGAATGATTGAATGCCTTTGACTGTCGTCGGCGCCTTCCAGTCTTTGATCACTGCGATCTTCTCAGGGTCCGGACGGATGCCGGAAGTTCCCACAATAAATCCAAGGAATTCGTCTCGGGCCGGTGGAACTCGCATTTGTGAATCGCCACTTGTAGGCCTGCGTTTCGTAATTTCTGCAGGACGACCTTGACATGCCTCTCGTGGTCCTCAAGCGTCTCGCTGTAGATCAAAATATCGTCGACGTAGGCCACTGCATAGTCGTCTAAGCTGTCCACGAGTACGGAATTCATGAAACGCTGGAATGTAGCTGGCCCGTTCGTGAGGCCAAATGGCATGACCTTATATTTGAATGAACCATACCTAGTGCGGAAAGTCGTAAGGTCTTCAGCCTCCGGATGCATTCGGATACGATGAAATCCTTGGCGGATATCGAGTTTCGTGAAAAACCTCGCACTCCCTAGTCGGTGCAGCATTTCATCAATCAACGGTAAGGGATAGACGTCCTTCTTAGTGACAGAGTTCAACTTCCGGTAGTCCACACAGAATCTTAGTCCTCCACCAGGCTTCTTCGCCATAAGGATAGGCGACGCAAAAGGAGCTGAACTTGGAACGATGAAGCCCTTTTTTAGATTTTCGTAGATATACGCCTTTGCCGCTTCAAGATGTTCCAGCGGCATCTTGTAAAGAGGGCAATAACCGGGCGTCGTCTTTTCTGTCAGCTCGATCTTATGATCCACTCCTTCTCGACAGGGAGGTAAAGTATCAGACGCTGCTTTGGAAAACACATCGAGGAACTCGTGATACTGCTTCGGGATCTGGGGTTTGGCCTCTTCGATATCTGCGGGCATCGTCAGCTTGGCGATTACATGCTCGATCTCATGAATACTGGTCGCCAAGGTCTCCACTCCTTGTTGTTTCGCACATAGCTGGAACCCCGCGCTTCCGACCGCAGCAATGGAAAATCCTTGCGGCATAGGCTTCTTGTCTGCCAGTCCTTCTTTGGGCGCCAACTCATTTCCTCGTAGGGAACACTCCATCTTCCTCACAGTGTCCTCCTTGTGGGAGTGGTTGTACACCACCATTACTCGCTTTGTGGCTTGCTCTCGCTGTTCGGCCCGTTCGATTGCTGTATCCCTTCTTTCTGCGTCTTTCTGATGCGCTTCGTCCACTGTCGGGCGCCTTAGGATCTGGATAGGGATTGGCCTTGTGATCTGACAAGCCACTTCTTCCTTCATGATTCGCCCTTCCTCTTCTTTCGTTGGCTCGGGCCAGATGAGCTGTAAGTTTTTACAGTCAATCAGGGCGCCTCTGTCCGCGCACCAAAGTCTTCCAAGTATCATGTCATGCTGACCCGTGTCCGCAATCAGCATAGGCACCTTGTCCTGTTTCCGGTTCCCCACTATCAAAGGTGCTCGAATGCCGTGAGTAATGGGTCTCGCAGGCCTGCCATCGAAGGCTTCTATTCCTTGAGGTTCCTGCAGCTTTCTCGTTCGGAGACCATAAGGTATCAACTTGACAACCACCTTAGGATGGATTAAGGCGTAAACATCAGCTCCCGAGTCTACAAGGGCATTGATCTGAAAAAATAAGGAGTTAACTGCTACCTGCGAACTTGTTGTAAAACTGACTGGAGATAGCAATTTCGAGAGATCATAACCACGAGTAGACTTTCGTATGCAGCCTGAGATGGAGACTTGTCTCAGGCTTAGTCTTTTCCCGAATCAGATGCGGAATCGGACTCAGCATCCTGGATGCGTTGTTGGGTTGACTGGCTTCGTTTCTTAGCGGAGGTAGCCGCTGCCTTCGTCTTGTTCTTATCCTCCGATTCTCCCTCCGGACAGTCGCGGCTGAGGTGGCCCTCCTTCCTACAGTTGAAACATTTCCCTTCCTTTAGCAGGGCCTGTCGCTCGGCGAAGGTGGTGTTCGTCTTACCACGACGATTGACCGCGGGCGTGGTGCTTGTTCGCGTGTTCGAGGTGGAGCCCTTGCTACCTGCCTGGTGAGTGCTTGATTCCGACTTTTTGAAGCGGTTCGGGGGTTGCATGCGGGTCACGGTGATCGCCCCGCGTCGACAGGAGTCAACAAATTCTTCCATGGTCACCTCGTCCTTGTACTCCAGCCACCAACGTCTGCAACCGGTACGGAAGTCTCTCGAACAGATCATCCTTCTGCAGCTCCTCGTCGCGCTTCGACTCCAGAGCAAGACGGGAGAATTCCGCGTAGAACGAATTGAAGTCATCGTTCGCCTTCATCTTTAGCTCCCCGTACTCTCGTTGGGCAATGCGACGTTGCTGGGGATCCTTAAACACAAGCTGGAGATGTTCCTGTGATGAGGAAGTTCTTTCGAAATAAAATTCGATTCGCTTTGATCTAAAAACAACAAGGTTGGGGAAGAAAAGAAAAGAAGAAAGAAAACAAACAAGAGGTGAAAAGGACTACAAGAAAAGATTGATCATGTGATTCATCACATCATGTCGGAACAACAGCAGCAGTGGAGATCGGAGAACGGAGATACCATATCCCACTTAGATTAGTCATTGTTATGCCCATACAAATTGCCAGCCAGGGGCTTCATAGAAATTCAGACCTGTTGATATCCGATTGGTACGCGCTATGATTTACTAAGCAGTTTCCGACTCATCACCCCCCTCAAAGATCCGTTCAGTCCCTTTGAACGGGTTTACCGTCATGGACATGCTCATCAGGGTACTCATCCTCTAAGGCGCATTGTTTCCAGTATTGCAGCCTTCTGGGAGGTCCCGGCTTCGCTGGATACTTGTCATGGAATGCTTCCAATTTTTGCGGTGCGTTGCATAGATTAGCAGCCGGGTACCAGGCTCTATCTTCGTCGTCGTAGCCTCTCCATTTCACTTTGTATTGCAGTTTTCCGTATCGCAAGCGTACGTCCAGTATCTCTTCCACTTCCCATTCGTCTTGCTCCCCAACCTTGACTGGAGGCGGTGGATCCTCTATCTGCCCGGTGAGTGGCTCGGATGTCTTTTTCCTGGCAAGTCGCAGTTTTTCGGGTGCAAACACCGGGTGTATGTCGAACCCTGCTGGTAGGCGTAACTCGAATGCGTGTCCGACCTTCTTGATAATTCAAAGGGTCCCGCTGCCTTATCCGATAGTTTTAGGCTCGGGCGGTTCTGTTTCAACCCTTTCAGAGAAAGGTACACGTAGTCTCCTTCATCGAAGTCAACTTCCCGTCTATGTTTGTCAGCTTGCACCTTCTGCCGAACCTGAGCTTTCGTCATCTGTTCCCGTGCTGAAGACCACGCTTCCTGCAGCTTCTGGGTGTAAGATCGGGCGTCTTGCTCTCCAGTCTCAGTACCAACGCGCTCTTCCCAATCGAACGATATCCTTGGCTCGTATCCTCTTTCGACGAAGAATGGAGACAGCCCGGTAGATGCTGATGGAACCGTCGCGGCTGCTAAGTCAATCAAAGGAAGTAAATCCGACCAATCATCTTGATGATAGTTAACGTATGGGCGTAATCTCTGTGCGATATACTGGTTTGTCACCTCGGTCTGCCCGTCTGTTTGAGGGTGTCGAGCCGTTGACAGCTTTCCCTTAATTCCCAGGATCCTGCAGAACTCCGACCAGAATGACGAGATGAACTGGGGACCCCTATCTGATACCACGGAGTCCGGGATTCCGGTCCAGCGAAGAATATGCGCGATAAACAACTGAGCAGTGTCCGCTGCGGTGACTTCCTTATGGCAAGGAACTGTGATGGGACGTTTCGATAGTCTGCAGACCACGACCATAACGTTGTCGAATCCCTTTTTATCTTTTGGTAGTGAGCAAAAGTCGACGGTGATGTGTTGCCACGGACGATCAGGCGGCGGTAACGGCTGTAATAGTCCAGGGGTGCGATCTCTCCACACTTTCGTTCTTTTGCAGGTGTGACAGTTGTCGACGTACCGTTGTACGTCTTTTAACCAGCCTTGCCAGTAGTAACGGGTAGAGAGTAACCGCGCGGTTTTATCGATACCCGGATGGGCTGTGGATGGCTGCCGGTGCACGTCATCGAGGAGTCTTGCTCGTAGATCCCCTTCATCCGGAACGACCAGTTTTCCCTTATGTAGTAGTAGTCCTTCTCGTAATGACCACGCCTCTGTTTCTTCCGTTAACGCCTTTTCCCGGAATTCTTCCAGACTTTCGTGTGTTATGTTCGATTCCTTGATTCGCTGGACAAGGTCGTGCTCTGACTGTTCTGTTGGCTGCGCAGCAGGCTGTTCTCTCTGCCGGAGTTGCCGTCTGGTACTTACTGGGGCCAGAGAGGCCCATCTCTGTTCAGGTAGAAGCACTTGTTCTATCGGATCCGCTCGCTCTGAAAGGTCCTTCCTTGATAACGCATCCGCTAGTACGTTCTGCTTTCCGGGGCGATACTGGATCACGAAGTTGTATCCTTCCATTAGCTGGTTCCATCGGATCTGTCTTGCGTTTAGCTTTTTCTTGGTTCGGAACCACTGTAACGCTTGATGGTCCGTAAGGATATCGAAGGGCTGTCGCAAACTGATGAGTTCAGCTTCCCATTCCTGCAACGCTCGAACAATGGCTAGCAACTCCTTGTCGTGGATTTCGTAATTCTTTTCCGCAGGTTCCATAGTCTTTGAGAAGAACGCGATAGGATGCCAATGTTCGTCTCGTAACCGTTGCGTGAGAACTGCTCCTAACACCTCGTCGGACGCATCAGTCTCTATCCTGGTGGGTGCTTCTGGATCGTAATGGCCGAGGATCGGCGCATTAATCAGATGCTTCTTTAGCTCCTGAAAGGCGTTTTCGCATGTATCTGACCAGTTCCACAACGATTGCTTCTTCGTTAGCCCATATAGTGGTTTCGCTACACGGCTGTAGTTCGAAATGAATCGACGGTAGAAGTTGCAAAACCCCAGGAATGACTGGAGTCCCTTCACAGAAGTTGGCGACTTCCATTCTTTAATCGCCTCGATCTTCTCGGGATCTGGGCAAATGCCAGAAGTCCCTACGATAAATCCGAGGAACTTCGTTTCAGGTCGATGAAATTCACACTTGTGGATAGCCACTTGTAGCCCAGCCTTTCTTAGCTTCTGCAACACGGCTCTGACATGCTTCTCGTGGTCTTCTAAAGTCTCGCTGTAGATGAGGATATCATCAACGTAGGCTACCGCGTAGTCATCGAGACTTTCGCCTAACACGGAGTTCATAAAGCGTTGGAAAGTGGCCGGACCGTTCGTGAGTCCAAAGGGCATTACCCTGTACTTAAATGATCCATATCGCGAGCGGAACGTCGTCAAGTCTTCCGCCTCAGGATCCATTCTGATGCGGTGAAATCCTTGGCGGATATCGAGCTTTGTGAAGAACTTCGCACCTCCTAACCGGTGTAACATCTCATCAATCAGCGGCAGGGGATAGATATCCTTCTTTGTGATCGAGTTCAGCTTCCGGTAGTCCACGCAGAATCTTAGTCCTCCGCCAGGCTTCTTAGCCATTAGAATCGGCGATGCGAAGGGTGCGGTGCTCGGGGCTATGAAGCCTTTTTTCAGGTTTTCGTAGATGTATGACTTTGCAGCCTCGAGGTGTTCGATGGGCATCTTGTACAGCGGGCAGTAGCCTAACGTTGTCTGTTCACTAAGTTCGATCTTGTGGTCGACCCCTTCCCGACACGGTGGCAGTGTGTCAGAGGCTGCTTTCGAGAAGACGTCGAGGTACTGATGATATTGCTTGGGTACCTGCTGTTTAACCTCCTGAGTGGCTTCCGGGGTTGATAGCTTCGCGATCACATGCTCGATCTCGTGAATGCTAGTTGCAAAGGTTTCAACGCCTTCCTGCTTCGCGCAGGTTTGGAACCCAGTATATCCCACCACTGCAATAGAGAACCCTCGTGGCATTGGTTTTGCAATGGACTGCTTGTTACGAACCCCACTAGCGTGGACTTGCCAGAAGACAGGAAGTCCAATCAACTTGGATACGTCATGCGGGAAAGATAACGTGACTGGCGAGGCACGCTCCAACAGCAGCTGAGGCAACCACCAGTCACATGACGCATCATAGCCCTGGCTATGATACAACAGAGCTCAGGATATGAAGAACTTGATATATAAGGACGCTCATTCACCGACATGTATTTAGTTCTTCGCGATCAATCATACATTGTTACTTGGTTACTACCTATTGGACTTTGCACTCTACGGTTCACCCTTAAGACAACCCAACCTACAAGTAGGGGAGCTCATCTTGTGGTAACACTTGGTGACTGACTTACTTGGCGCGCACTACTGGCACATCCTGCAAGATACTCAACAGGACCCGAGTCCGTGTAAGGCTTAGCACAGCAACGGTACGGTTGCGAGATACTCTTGGGATTCGAAGTGGAACTAGGCGAGTACAACCCGGAAGCAGCTCTACTCACAGTGACCAGCAGGCACCGCGTAACACTGCTTCCTTTTGGCCGTCCTGGTCAGATCTCTCTCTTTGCCAGGGTTCTCTTGCCCCCGTAAGGATCGTTCCATCTTAACCAAGGTATCCTCTTTGTGGGAGTGGTTGTACACCTTTTTAACGTGCTCCCTCGATCGTTCTCGTCGCTCAGCTTGCTGGATCGCTGCATCCCTCCTGTCCGCATCCTCTTGGTGTGCTCTTTCGAATTCCGGACGCTTTAGGATCCGAATTGGGATTGGCCTCGTGATCTGGCAAGCCACTTCTTCTTTCATGATTCGTGTTTCCTCATCTTTTGCTGGTTGAGGCCAAATAAGCCGCTCGCCGTTGCAATCGACTAAGACACCTCTGTCTTTTAACCAGAGCCTTCCGAGTATCATGTCGTGTTGACCAGTGTTTACAATCAGCATAGGCACCTTGGCTTGCTTCCGGTTTGCCACGATCAGAGGCGCTTGAATGCCGTGGGTAATTGGTCTCGCATGTCTGCCGTCGAAGGCATTTATCGCTTGGGACTGTGGAAGTTTCCTTGTCCTGAGTCCGTAAGTTATCAGCTTAACAACCACCCGAGGATGGATTAAAGCATAAACGTCTGCTCCTGAGTCTACAAGGGCATTGATCTGGAAAAATAACGAGTTGATTGCTATCTGCGCACTTGTCGTAAAGCTTTTAGTTGACAGCAATTTCGGGAGATCAACACCACGGGTAGACTTCCGCACGCAGCCTGAGATGGAGACTTGCCCCAGGCTTAGTCTTTTCCCGAATCCGATGCAGAGTCAGTTTCCGCATCCTTGATGCGTTGTTCGGTTGACTTATGCTGACCCCTGCTCGAGACAGCAGCCGTCTTCGCTTCCTTTCCTTTGTTCTTATCCTCTTTTCCCCTCTTCGGACAGTCGCGACTGAGGTGGCCTTCTTCTCTGCAATTAAAACACTTCCCCTCCTTCAGTAAGGCCTGCCGTTCCTCATAAGTTGTATTCGTTCTTCCCCGATTCGCGGCCATGGTTCGTGAGCTCGAGGTGCTGGCACGTGCGTTCGAGGTAGTGGAGTCCTTGCTACTTGTCTGGTGGGAACCCCCTGATTCTGACTTTTTGTAGCGATTCGAAGGTGGAGGCTGTAAACGGGTAATAGTGATGGCGCCACGTCGGCAGGCATCCACGAAATCCTGCATCGATACCTCTTCCTTGTAGACATCTCCGGCCACCAGCATCTGCAGTCGGTAGGGAATTTTTTCGAATAAATCATCTTTCTGCAACTCCTCGTCCCGTTTCGATTCCAGGGCTAGGCGAGAGAACTCCGCGTAGAACATGTTGAAATTCTCATTAGCCTTCATTTTCAGCTCACCGTACTCCCGCAGGGCGATGCGACGTTGTTGCGGGTCCCTAAAAACGAGCTGTAAATGGTCAAGCATTTCTTCGGCTGTTCGGTACTGGTCCTTCGCGTCGGGTTCGAGTCGGGGCTGCAACTGGGCCTGGGCCTTTCCAGCGCAGCGGTTAGCAACGTAAGCCATACGATGCTTTTCGGTCGGGTAGTGATCGGCGTTAAGCAGGAGCTTATTTTCGATCTCGCGTCGCCATGGAACGAACTTCACAGATTCGCCGTCGTCCATGATCGGGGCGTTAGGCAGTTTCGCACTACGCTGAATCCCCGCCGATGAGGAAGTGTGCGTGTCAGGAGTGTTAGTTGGGGCGTGCCGAGCATCGTATAGGCGACTTCGCAGAAAATCCACCTCCTTTCTCAATGTATTGTTCTCGTGGTAGACCCGCTCTGTCTCCTCCGAAGGCGGTGCCTTTTCGAGTTCCTCCACGTACTCCTCCAATTCCTGTATTCTTTCCACGGATTTCCGGTTCTTTTCACGGAGATAGTCGCGACTCTCTTGCGACTCCGCGAAATATTCTAAAGCCTTCGTAGGTTCGGTCTGGACCCACTTGAGCAAGGTTTCCCCATCCTTGATGATCATCATCTTCCCATCCTGGTTACGCAGGTACAGTCGGGTCTGCGACTGTTGGGGAGCGGGGGAAATCGCCGGAGTCGAGCGCAGAGACGGAAGCGGCTCATCTCTGGCCTGTCGGACTGGAGTGTACTGGTCCTCATCGTGAGTAGACTCTTCGGGCTGCGCGGTAGCTCTCTTCTAACTCTGACTACGCGTTTCCATGGTTCGTTCGGTTCGTACTCGTGTTCGTTCGGTTCGTTTTCGTAGTTCTACCGAACGCCAAGACCGCAGTGCGGGTGCACGCAGATGACGTTCACGTGGTAGAAAAAAAATGAATTGGTGAGAACCTTGTTGTAATGTGATGAGGAAGTTCTTTCGAAATAAAATTCGATTCGCTTTGATCTAAAAACAACAAGGTTGGGGAAGAAAAGAAAAGAAGAAAGAAAACAAACAAGAGGTGAAAAGGACTACACGAAAAGATTGATCATGTGATTCATCACAGTTCCAGCATCTCCTTGGCTGTTTGGTACCGGTTCTTGGCATCGGGCTCTAAACGGGGCTGTAACTGTGCCCGGGCCTTACCAGCGCAGCGGTTCATGACGTATGCCATTCTATGCCTTTCCGTGGGGTAGTGGTCCTCGTTGAGGAGCAACTTGTTCTCAACTTCGCGGCGCCAACCAGTGAATTTCACACTCACGCCGCCGTCCATGATCGGAGCGTCAGGCAGTTTAGCGCTGCGGCGTAATCCCGCATGTGAAGGAGTCTGTTGACCGGCGTTGGACTGAGTCCGCAGTTGCTTCACCTCCTCGTTCAGTTTCCGGTTCTCATGGTAGAGGTCCTCTATCTCCTCTGATGGTGGAAGCTTCTCGAGTTCCTCAACGAGTGTTCCCAGTTCTTGATTCGCTTCGACCAGTTCCGGCACTTGTTCTCAAGTTCTTGGTTCCTTTCACGCAGAATTGTACGGTGACGTAGCACTTCTCCAAGGTAGTCCCATGCGCTTTTGGGATCATCTTCAATCCAGTCCTGTACCCTATCGATGTCGGTGACCTGGATCATCCTTTTTTCCTTGTTCGTACGTAGAATCCCGATCGCTGCGAAGGAGAAGCAGGAGAGGAAGTCGGCACTGACGTGGATCGTGGACGCGGGAGTGCATCATCCCGATTCTGTGTAGCTGGAGTCTGCGGCGCCTCCAGGGGGGTGGTCTTTCCAAGACCTTTCGTGCGCGAGCGCGTGTCCATTTTGTATTCGTGTTTGTTTACGTGTTTGTGTACGTGTTCAAGTCGCGTTCGGTTCGTATTCGTGTTTGTTTGGGGTCTCTACCTGAATGCCAAGACCGCAGTGCAGCTTGCACGCAGATGGCGTCGCGTGGTAAAGAAAGAAAAGTGTGAAGAGTCTTGTTGTGATGTTACGAGGAAGATCGTTCGAAAACAGAAGTGTTCGATTCACTTAGATAAGAAAACAACAAGTCTGGAGAAGAGAAGAAAGAAGGAAGAAAAACAAAAGGAGAGAAGAGAAAAGATATACTACGCTTCCCCTCCTCTCACGTGGCAAAGTCCACTTCCACTTCCAGTTCAGTTCCAGTCCATGTGACTTGCAGTTCCAGTCCAGTTCCAGTCCATGTGACTTGATGTGTCACAGTCAGCGGGCCATTGAACGCGAGCTCCAGGACCAGGGATAACATACTTGTGGAATGTCGGAGAGGTTCGTCGCGTTGACAGATCTCAAGCCCGGACAGCGCACAGACGATATGAACAATTTCCGCTGACCGGAAAAGGCGTTTTAATTGAAAAGCGAAGTGAGATTGCTGAAAGCACCGGAAAAAAGCTACACGTGGGAGTTCGCTCAATGACGTTGATGGGGAACGGGAAAGCTGGCGCCTGTCCGAAGTCTTGGCGACGCCTAAGCCGATGCCAGTTGGGCCACGGCGAACTGAACTGAAAGCTTTATCCCCTGATGATGGAGGCTGTGCGTCTCTGTCTACGCGTCAAACATCTGAGAGGCTAGGCAGACCTTCTGACCTCGGGAAAGGTCATGTATCCACGTAAGCGATTTCTACATACAGGTTACAATCTACGGGGCTACTTAGTTTACTTTGAAACCGGTTCGGGTCGAATAATACATTCAATATCGGAGGATCAGCTAAAAAGTGAAAGGTATCCACATAAGGCAGTCAGTATAATCTGTGCAGGATATCAATGGTGCAGGGAAGCCAGCCCAACATGGAGCCCCCAGTCCTTCCAAAGTGCAATGTGCAACCAGGAAACCAGAAGGCACAAGGCGGCTCACCGTCCATGCTCATATTTGCATGGATGGCGGCGGATGCATGTGACAGAAGCTTCCGACATCCTCAATCCTGTGTTTCCTAACCTCCTGTGCGCTGGCATCAGCCGCTACGAGGGGACTTTCACCCTTCCTGCAGATGACAAGGCCTCATGGCTGTCCGGAGTTGGAGGAGGCGCCTGATCAACAGGGCGCAGCGACTCAAGGCAAGGACACCACACTTCTGAGAGGAAAGTAGAATAGCACTACAGTTGGAAGCTGGTATCCGACTGATAGTACAGAGAAAGAAGATATTGCGAGTGAAACACCACAAACTGCTGGTTTCTATTCCCGGACAAAGCTCCGGAAGGTTGGGAGCCTCGCCGAAAAGTACCCAACAACAAAGGGTACAGAATGAGAAGGCACCAGCAAAGACTAAAACACCTAAGCCCTCCAAGAAACAGGAGAACGCCATGATCTCCGTCTTGGAGAATGATGATGAACCTCACCCCAGCACTGAGGTAAACACCGAGATCCCAGACGCAAAGAGATATCAGATGATGACTTCTTGAACGAGGTATGCTTTCCATTATTCCACAAAAACAAAAGCCTTTGTGACGAACACAATACTTACAAACATAAATCAGATCTGAGATCGCCCAAGCGTTCAATAGATTTAGAGTTTGATAAGATTGATTTTGTATTAGATACGGCTGCCACAATTCACACAATTTGCGATCTGAACCTTTTCCATACCTATGAACACACAAAAACAAAAGTTAACTGGGGTGAAGCGAAGAATCTAAACGCAAGATACAAAGGTAAGATTTATGTCAGAACCAATACAAACATGGAACTCTTCATCAACGATGTTTACTATATCCCAGAATTGGGAGTTAACCTCCTCAGTGTTAACAAATTACTCAAGAAAGGAATAAAAGCAACTTTCAACGAAAAAGATGCCATCATATACAACGAGAACACTATCATTTCAAAAGCATTCAAAAAGAACAACCTATACATCACAAACCTGTCTATCCCGACCAAAGATAAAAACAGAAAAATACTGTTAACAAAAAGGTTAGAAGACAACTTCATCAAAATATGGCATGAGCGCCTAGGTCATATATCATATGAACCTCTGAAGGCCATATTAAAGCACATCAATGTTGATCTGTCGAAAGAAAAATACACAAACTCTATCATGAACTGCAAAATATGCCTCCTCGCAAAGAACAACAGACATATAAACAAGATTAGCCAACATCCCAAAAATTTCGAAAAGATTGAAAGAATACACAGTGACCTAGGCGGACCACTGCCCAAAACATACGATCACAAGGCCTACTACATCACATTCCTAGACAAGAAGTCTAGATTCATATGGATATTCCTACTCCGCAGAAAAGACGAAGCATACGATTGTTTTGAAAAATTGAAGGCTCAAATTGAAAACAATACCAATGGACGCATCAAAGAATTCTTTACAGACAATGGAAAAGAATATACAAACAAAAAATTCAAATTGGCTCTAATCAAATACGGGATTGAACACAGACTCAGCCCAACATATACAAAAGAACCAAATGGCTTGATTGAAAGAATCAACTTGACATTGATGAACAAAGTGAGAGCTCTATTGATCAGCTCAAATGCCCCAGACTACCTGTGGGGAGAGGCTCTAAAAGCAGCCACATACCTATACAATATAACACCGCACAAAGCACTGAACTACAAAACACCATATGAAGCATATAACAACACAAAGCCATACATCAAGAATATCAAAACATGGGGATCACTTGCATATTATCACGATAACAAATACAAAACAAAGCTTGAACCCAGAAAAGAAGAAGCTATCCTAATTGGATACAATGACTCCACGAACTACAAGTTGTGGGACATCAAGACAAGGAAAACGGTATGGGCCAGAGATGTCACCATATGTGAAAACCAGTTCCACAACTTTGACACATCAAACGATAATACAAACGTCCAAGCCGAAATAGAGCTATCAACCAAAATTCCAACACAAAGACCATACAGAATCGAAGTGCAAATCCCATACAAAGAAATGAACATATTATACACAGCCCAAGACACGGAGCTAAGGAACATGATATCGCGAATAGGCGAATACAACCTGAAAGATGATCCAAACCAAGACTTCATTCTCACTGCCACAATGGCCGCTGAGCCCAGCGGCTGGAAACAAGCCATGAAAACGAAAGACAAAGATCTATGGGTAAAGGCATGCAGAGAAGAAGTGAGAGAATTTGAAAAACAAAATACCTATAATATTATCGATATCCCCAAGACAAAAGATAACAATACCATCATACCGATAAAAGGAAGATGGGTATTCAAGCTGAAACCTATATCCAATGCTGCAACAATCAAAGAATCTTGGATTGTCAATGATGAGAAGACCTACAGGTACAAGGCCCGTTGGGTAATCCAAGGCTTCCACCAAAAACTGGGAATAGATTTCCTCGAAACATTCTCCACCACATGCAGAACAGAAACATGGCGTATGCTATTGATCATAGCTGTCAATAAAGGATGGATCATCCTACAGTACGATGTCAAAAATGCATTCGTACATGCAGACATAGACGCTGACATCTACACCATATTACCCGAAGGGATATACGACGACAAGACCAAATGCTGCCGGCAACCTGAGGAAAGCCATATACGGTCTCAAACAAAGCCCAAGACTGTGGTACAAATATCTGACCAAAGCCCTTGCAAAATACGGCTTCAAGGTCCTTCCATATGACGAAGGCGTCTACATCAATACGGAAACAAACTGTATACTGATATGCCATGTCGACGACATTTTGGCGATCCACAAGGACAAACAATACATCCGAGATCTGATGACGGATCTGAAGTCTTCTATCAAAATAGAAGAAATGGGACCAGTGTCCACATTCATAGGAAACGACATTATTATCAAGGACAAAGAACTATACATCAATCAATCCAGATACACTGAAAAACTACTGAACAAATTTGACATCATCAACGATCCCGAATACAAGCCTGTCAAGATTCCTGGAGAACCAAGAGTCAGGGTACAGAAGAACAAAGGAACTGCCTCGGCAGAAGACATAAACAGATACCAAAAGCAAGTAGGCTCCCTACTATACCTGGTTCTAAAAACTAGACCAGACATGACATACGTGGTCATATACTGCTCAAGATTCATGAGCAATCCCAACAAGGAACACTTCAATATCCTGAAGAAGATATGGAAGTACCTGAAGAGTACTCCCCTCCTATGATTACACTATGACTGCTCAGGAGATGACTTGACGCTGAAAGGCTACTGCGATGCAGATTGGGCCGGCGACAAGGACGACTACAAGTCAACCTCAGGCTATCTATTCAGTCTGTCAGGCAACATATCACGCAACAACTGCATATCATGGAACTCCCAGCTACAAAAGAGCGTGGCCTTGAGCACATACGAGGCTGAATACATTGCTCTAAAAGAAGCAACAAAAGAGGCTCTATACCTGAAGAGTATGCTCAACTACATCAACGACAACCTGCATTTAGGTTATACACATTCAGTACCAACGATACTGGTCGATTGCCTATCGGCCAAACTACTCAGTGAAAATCCTGAATTCCATAAGAAGACAAAGCATATACCACTGATGTATCACTTCACGAGAAATGCTATATCGGAAGGGAGCATCAAATTGATCTATATTCCCACAAAATACCAAGTGGCTGATATCCTGACAAAGAATCTACCATTCCCTCAATTCTCAGCCTTGAAGCAGCTGGCACAGCTGCAAGAAAGACCATTCAACTAATCTGTATAATCTTGACAGATTGTACAGATTAAGGGGGTGTATGAGAGCAATTCTCTCCACATATCGGCCCAGTCCCAGACAAGCCACAAGACGCGTGGCCTTGGAGAGTCCGACCCGGCCTTGCCATTCGGCCTCACTACCCGACCACTCGGCATTGCCAGGCACGACGCGTGGCCCAAAGAACCCGGCCCGGCCTTGCCACTCGGCCCTGCCACTCGGCCTCGCTACCCAGCCACTCGGCTTTTCCACTCGGCCTCGCCACTCGGCTTTGCACATGGCTTTCCACATAGCCACCTCGCCTCGTCATCAGACGCGTGGCCTCGACCTTCACCATTCGGACTCTCGCCACTCGGACAAGATAGACGGCATTCGCGGCGGACAAAAGTTTAGCCAGGGACAGACTTAAAAGGAGCCAAATCCCCCAGGGAATTAGCGATTATCAATCGAACAATCATCAAATTCCCAATCAATTCTCTTGACTTCACTAGTCTTTCCCATACTACTTCCATCCTTCGTTAAGACCGTTCACCTTCACAAGTCCTTCCTCCTTTGTAACCTCCCAGAGACGGGGGCGGAAGAGAATGTAACCGTGACTCCATATTCCGACACCCCCCCCCCCCCCCCCCCCCCCCCAATTCTTCAGACAAGAGTCTGGGAAATTGCTCAGACATCAGGTGAGAATGGGATTTGTTCCATGCCAAGTTGTCGGATAAACGCATCATGTTTGGGTCTGGTGAGCGCCTTTGTCAGGCCATCGGCAGGCATGTTGTTAGTGTCGATCCATTGGATTTGAAGTCGTTTCGCTTGGACTTCTTGTAGTATCCAGAGTTGGTGGATGTCAACATGTCGTAGTTTGGTCTGAAAGCTAGAATTCTCGCTCACAAGAAGGTCGACAGTCTGTTTGTTGTCACAGTACAGGACCTCAGGATGGTTCAGATTCAATCGAATAAACCTGAAGAGTCGCCTTCATCCAGTAGTACTGTCTGGCGGCATGACTCAGAGCTAACAGCTCTGCTTCAGTGGTGGATGTCGTAATCGTGCGCTGCTTGCGCGCTCTCCACTCCACTGGTCCTCCAAACAATGAAAAGATAAACCCCTCTGAACTCTTGCGATCTGGGTTATCCGCAAAGCTCGCATCCGACGCAGCAGTAAAGGCCACAGTCTGCTTCCTTCCATCGAAGCAGATAGCTAGGTCCTTTGTCCCATGAAGGTATGAGATGAGGTGGTCGACGGCTTTGAGATGTGCGTCAGTGCAACGAGTGAGGGAACGGGCCAGAACTTGATTTGCGAATGTAGTATCAGGCCTGGTCCAAGTAGCAGGAAAGAGTGTTGATCCGCATTTCTGTTGGTATAGATGGACCAACGTCGGATCAGGAGGGGTCTCTGCAGGGCGGGTAACCTGCGAGAGATCAGATGGCAAAGGTGTATGAGGAGTTCGTCGATCAAGGAGATTGAACTTTGTAGCGATTTTTTCAATGTAAGCACCCTGGCTGATCCACGTTCGCCGGGTTTCGCGGTCGCGAGTGATGCGGATGCCGATGAACTGTGTAAGTTCGCCGCTGCGTTTCATCTCATACCGCTGCTCCAAGAGATCCCTTATATGAAAGGCATGCTCAGATTCAGATGGATGGTATGCTGCCAGAAAGTCATCAACAAACAGCATAATGATCATCTTGTCATCAGAGTAAAGACAGGGGTCTTCAGGACAAGGCTTGAATCCCAAGGAGATGAGCATTGTTCGAATGTCTGTTTCCCATCGCTTCCCGGCAATGCGTAGACCATATAGTGCTCTCCTCAGGCGTAAGTGTTTGCCGTTTGATCCAATCCCAGCTGGATACTGGCAGTATACCTCATTGTCGAGACGGCTGTTGAGGAAGGCATTGACTGCATCCATCTGAAAGGTATCCAGATCAAATGTCGTGATAATCGCAATCAGGGTTCTGAATGTCCTAGCAGCAAGTGTGCTAGTCCTTGCATCCTGGAAGTCAGGGACTTGCAAATCTCCTCTCACGCAGAGCCGGGCCTTGAATCGGGTCACAAAACCTTTCTCATCGGATTTGTAGTCATATGCCCATTTCAATGGAAGAACTTGGTGTTTGATGCAATGTTTCTGGTTCAAATCACCACAGTCACGAACATGGGATTCTCGGATGCGTGAGGAAGGAATGGGTTCGAAGGTACCCATCTGGACAAGTTTGTTGAACTCAACATCCATGGCTTGTAAGAATTCACGTCGAAAAGGGTGACTCTTGACTTGAGAAAAATCACCTGGAGGTGGCGGAATCGAAGACACCATGTGTTTCTTGGGCATAATCTGATTAGACGAAAAAGCTTGGTAAAATGCTGTAAGATTGATTCTGGGTCGCTTTTCATCCTCAGGAGATGGAGATGGGGAACGGGATCGCTTCCCGAGCACAGGTGATGTTGGGAATAGGTCATCAACCTCGGATTGCGGTTCAGAGACACATTCTGCCTCTGGCTCAAGTGGGGGAGAAAGTGGTAAATCCCCAAGGATAAGATCTTGGTCTGGCTGAGTCTCTTCAGGAACTGGAACTGGCTGGTCGACAAGATCTTCGGCTGTGTGAATCTCATCAGGAACAGTGTGATTCTCGTCAGGAACAGGAACAGGCTGGTCAATTTGTCCCATACCACCCCCCTGAGCTGTCTGTGATGGGTCCGGGATGTCAATGTCATCGAATATGCAGGATGAAGTATAGTCGTCGATGGTTGAGATTAGCTGAGAGGAATCATCATAGAGTTTGATAGGAGAGTGTTCCTCTTCTCCTTTGTAAAACTTCGTTTCATCGAATTCGACATCTCTTGCGCGGATGATTCGGTTTTTGGCAGGAATCCAGATTCGCCAGATGTTAGACGCTTCGTAGCCAACAAGATATCCAATTTCAGCTCGAGGGGCTAGCTTTGCCAGTCGGGGAATGTTGTGTGTGCGGACAAATGCTTTACATCCATAGACACGGAGGTTCGACAAGTCTGGCTTAAGCTGAAGCCAATGCGGTGCTTTCTCTCCGAGATGAGATGCGAGTACCTCAGAGGGCGACTTCCAGTCGAGAGCGTGGTGAGGGATGCGGTTCTGGATGTAGATGGCCGCCCTGGAGGCCTCGTGCCACAGAGAGTGTGGAAGACCAGCATCTTCAGTCAATTGTCGGGCCATGCTTGTGATGAGAGCTCCGTATCTTTCTGCATAACCGTTCTGTTCAGGCTGGTGAGAGGGTGCGGTTTCGAAGTTGATTCCACGAGCTTGGGCTTCGGACGAGATGGTCGAGACAAGAGCGGTTTCATTGTCGGAATGGATAGTCCGGATGTCTAACCCGAATTGCGTTTTGACAAAAGAGATATGGCCGAGTAGCGAAGCCGGCGTCTGTTTCTTGTCCGAGATGTCTTCTCCCATCTGATATTTGGTGACTGGATCAACAGAATGTGAGAAGTATCGGGTCTTGGCAAGAGAGGGCTCATGATGGATGAGATCCCAATGTAGAGCTTCAAACGGCTTTTCGTACACCATCGGTTTGCGGGATATCTGTTTGCGAGCTTTCGTGACCTTACAGACCTCACAGATGTCATTCGAATCCGCATCTTCAACAGTAATGTTTGAGGAACTGTCTTTCAGGTGCTTGATAACCTCAGTGCCAACACGTCCCAGGCGACGGTGCCATAAGTCAGAAGATCCTCCCTGATGTTTGGCCTTGTAAGAGGATAGGGCCAATTTTCCAAAGTCTTCAATCGGGGCTATTGTCACGTGCTATGAGATATAGGACAAAGGACAAGGGTCATGTGATAGAGGAGGTGATTGTTTGTTCGTGCCTGAGGCACGTACCTGATGAGCATAAAAGCTCCTCTCAGATAGTTGCTTTCTTTCTTTCTCTTTCTCTCTTCACCTTTAGTTTTCTGAATAACAGCACTCTTTCCACAAAAGATTTGGCTCATAACATCCGGAAGCAATAAATCGCAATCCTCAGTCCGTCCGCGTCAATCTATGAACGTTACGGTTCACTTGTGTTGTATCTTTATGTTACGTCAGTCCGCAGGCGTCTGTCCGTTAACGTGTCTTGATATTTTTAGGTCATATTGATATTTTTAGATCTTACACAGGTCATAGAGGACTTGGGGCTATGAGGCATGTGACTTGAGGGAGACGGACACGTAACGATAAGGGAGGGGCACGTGCTGCTTATCGGACAAGATATCAGCACGTCCTGGCGGAGATGCTTTCCTTCCTTCTCTCCTCATGCTTAATTGCTTCGTTTAATGCCACTACATTGGTCGATCTTCATCATTCGTAACTGGGCGTAACACAGGGACAGTGTCGGAATATGGAGTCACGGTTACATTCTCTTCCGCCTCCGTCGTGGTTACACTCTCTTCCGCTTCCATTCTGCCCGATCTATTTCCGTTCCCGTTTCTCTCCTGTTTTCATCGATAGGATGTCTGTTCACATCCTCTATCCTGTCTACCGATTTGCCTATAAAGCAGCCTGTCTTTACATAGTTGTAAACCCACTTTGAATACTCTCTTTCACTGTCACATCTACTATTGCAATTGAATACAATCTTTCACTCGCAATATCTTCTTTCTCTGTACTATCAGTCGGATACCAGCTTCCAACTGTAGTGCTATTCTACTTTCCTCTCAGAAGTGTGGTGTCCTTGCCTTACCCCTGACACCTCCTCCCAGCTCTACTCCTCTCCCATGTATCGGGTACTGTAGAGTCTGAGAGTTATGAGCCCGGAACCTCTCTAAGGCTCTCATATCACACTTCTTTCTGTTCACATCGAACAACTCCAAGACCATCTCTTGGACCTATCACCATCTCTTTCTATCCTCTTATTCTTCCCAAATGTCAGCCATGTCGGAACTCAATTGGCTCAATATCCCACTCAAGTGGAAACAGGACTGGATCCCCTGGTACACGACTGTTAAAGACCAGGCGACAGTCTGGGATCTCTGGGAATACATCGACCCGGAAACACCAGAGGCGTCTTTACCGAACATACCAGTCAAGCCAAAAATCCCATCAGTGTCTGAAATCACTAGCGAAGCAGTTAGTGTTCTTGATCTCACCGAAAAAGAACTCGCTAGATACACTGCATTGACAAGGGAGTACGACCGGCAAAATGATCGCTTCAAAGAATACCGAAAAAACACCGACAAGTTGAAGCAGGGCATCCGCCATTCCGTCACATCAGAACACAAGCGGCTCATAGTTGCGCAACCTCTGCGTACTACACTCCAGGTGCTCAAGAGTACCTATGAACCCAACGATGAGGAACGCAAGGTACAAGTGGCAGAGAATTGGAATAAGCTTTGCAGCCAGGTTCCCCCGAAATCGAATCTCGACGGCTGGATCTTGAAGATGCAGGTCTGCTATGCTGAAGCTAAGGAAGTTGGCTGTCAGGAATTCGAGCAGAATGAACGAATTATCATACAGTTCCTCAGAGCTGTTGGGTCCACATCTCCCGAGTTCTATGGAATTTGGATGGACCGAATTCATGACCCTGATGGCAGAAAACTCCCTGACTTCCCAGACATCATCAACCGTTACTCTCAGCAAGTTGGTGTAGCTGCACCTCGATACCAGCATCGACTAGCACACGCTGCTACATTCCAAGGCCGAGAATCTGATACCAACAACAAGAAGAAGAGTACCTGTCCCTGTGAGAGTGACCCAAATGAGGGAGATCACTCTTTCGCCGAGTGTCCCTATGTGAATCCTGCAGTCCGAGCCGCAGGATGGGAACCGAATGAAGAGGCGGAGAAGAGATTCAAACGAGCCACCAAGTCGAAGGCCTTCAAGACAGCCTACACAAAGGCTTTGGAGAAATTCAAGAAGGATTCGTCTTCTTCCTCCTCAGAGTCGTCTACGTCGGAGAAACAGAGTCGGACAGCAGCATTTTCGACATATATCCCCAAGACTGTCATTTCCGACATCACTGAAGTTGCGCTGAACACGATGCAGAAGAAGGATACGGCAAAACCTCCGAAGTGCGATATCTGGTGTTATGACACTGGTGCTTCAGTCCATATCTGCAATGACAAGAGCCTCCTATCTGACTATCGACCAGCAGCTGGATCAGTACGAGTTGGGGACACACAGACAAATATTCTTGGATTCGGAACTCTGAAGGTGACGCCTACAGAAAGCTTCGACGGCATCCATCTTGCTCTCAAGAACGTGGCATACGCGCCCGGGTTTCACATGAACTTGATCTCAGCTGATCGAGCAGAGGAGGGTGGATTATTCCACGATGGCCTCTCACACTCTCTCATTGAATCCGACAAAACGCCAGTCTGTCGACTGAACCGGAAGCCAGGAGTCTACCTCGTGAAATGGGATCCGAATACCCATGATGGGATGACTGATGACATAGCTGTTATGAGCCAAATCTATGATGAAAAGAGTGCTGTGATTCGGAAAACTAAAGGTGAAGAGAGAAAGAGAAAGAAAGAAAGCAACTATCTGAGAGGAACCTTTATGCTCCTCAGGTACGTGCCTCAGGCACGAACAAACAACCACCTCCTCTACCTCCTCTATCACATGACCCTTGTCCTATGTCCTAGATCTCATAGCACGTGACACCGGACAGACGATTGCGGAATCTCACTAAACACAGCACATGAAGTGCAAAGATAAATAGGAGTCGAATCCCCCGGGGGAATTAGTTTTAGCATCACTACTATCATCAAGTTCTTGCAACACAATCAAACTTACTTGACTCCACCATCTTTCTTCCACATTCTTCCTAAGAACCTTTCCTCCCAAACATCTTCACCGCCACCATTCCTTCCTCTGCCATAATCCTCCTTGAGGTTATGAGCCCGACAAAATTCCTGCTTCAGCAATAGACCCATATCATCCATCACGACTTGCTGAACTACGTCTTGGAATTTGTTTCACCAGACAGACATACGCCATCAGGACGTCCCTCGAAAAGATCTCAGTCGCCAAGCTCAAAAGCTCCGAGAACTATACCATCTGGGCTATCCGCGTCAAGGCCATCTTGACGAAAGCGGACCTCATCTCTGTCCTCACCACCTCAACCTCGCAAAGCAAGAACTTGATAATAGTAGTGATGCTAAAACTAATTCCCCTGGGAAATTTGACTCCTATTTATCTTTGCACTTCATGTGCTCTGATTTATTTTTATCTTTGCACTTCATGTGCTGTGTTTGGTGAGATTCCGCAATCGTCTGTCCGGAAGCAATAAATCGCAATCCTCAGTCCGTCCGCGTCAATCTATGAACGTTACGGTTCACTTGTGTTCTATCTTTATGTTACGTCAGTCCGCAGGCGTCTGTCCGTTAACGTGTCTTGATATTTTTAGGTCATCTTGATATTTTTAGATCTTACAGGCAAGACAAGGAGTCCAGACTAAGGAGACAAGAAAGACATAAATTGTTGCGTGAAGAGGAAAACTATGTACACAGGGGATGCAATCCTATATAGCTTTCTTTTCCCGCTCTGAAGTGTAAGTAAACAAACAATAAGACAAGACCAGTAAGTCTGAAGGGAATTCCGACAGGGGAACTCCGGTAGGGGGATTCCAGGGTTAGCAAGGAGTGGCTCGCATACAGCTGCAGATGCAGGTTGTAAGGGCGAGAACGAAGGAGGCAAGGCAAGGGAGGAACCCGATGAAGATTCATGACAATACGTTACACTTATCAATCAGTAAAATAATTCTTTTGATACCTCCATCCCTATCCTATTATTTCCAATCAGAGCTTTGCGATCACCAAACAACCACATGCTCCGGTCTTATAACGTGGATCCTGGTTGTTCGGGCACCCCGGATATTCGGGCAGGCACCCTCAATTTTCCTCTCCTCACCAAACCTCCAATTTTCAAATGCCTACCATGCCACCAACCCGTGGTCAAAAATCTTAGAAATTAGTTGAGCAGGTAGACAGAATCCTGCTTGTAAATAAGGTTATTAAAAATGGCTGGGTTACCTCCATTGCTGCTGCTGTTCGCTCTTTCAAGGTCCCGTGGTCTACGCGGGATCCAGGTGGTCACTATTTGGTCTGTCATGAAGGCTACAAGCCATAAATTCACCCATAACTAAGAGGATCAATCCAGGATAGGTTAATCTCTATGGTTACTAGAGGTGCTGCTCTTACGATCGCCATGTCGAGAGATATAGCCAATATACAACTCGAAACCCGCAGAGGGGATACCCCCCAGACCGTTGGCAATAATTGGCCAACACGATACATCAAACGACATCCCGAGCTTTCTAGTCAATTCTCTCGTGGTTATAGCTATAAACGCGACTTGCTGCAAGATCCAAATACCATTATTGAGAGGTTCAAGCCTGTTGAAAAAACGATTGCTCAATATGGTATCACTTCGGATGATATCTACAACTTTGACGAACCAGGGTTTGCAATGGGAGTTATTGCAGTGACAAAGGACATTACACAGTCATTCTGTATCGGTCGGAGGGGTGTTTTGCAGGATGGCAGTCGCAAATGGGTGAATATTGTCGGTCAAGTTAGTTGATGAGCGTATCTTGATGCGGGATTAAATTGAGCATTTATAGGAACGGAATAGAGAGCAGACAAGAAAGATGGACAAATTAATGAAGCAAATACCCAGTAGAGGCGGTTTAACCGAGCTTTAGGGTCCTACTACCAATGTAGGTGGTGAGGAAGGTGCAAGTGTGAGATATATATCTCGTCCTACATCCGCTCTAGAACCCTATGTTGAACCTACACTCCATGCTTTACCCCCTATGCGTCGGCAAATCGCCTGTTCTGGGTGTCATAAAAAGGGCATTCTTTTAACAAATGCCCCAAAACTTAGTTTTGTAAATTTTATGGGTTTCTGGTTGATTAATTGGCGTTTAAAGAAAGTAGGAAAGTTGATGTTTTGAAGTTCCTGCCCGAATATCCGGGGTGCCCGAACAACCAGGATCCACGTTATCTGGAGATTACCAAGTCTTTTTATCTAGGAATGGAATATAATATGCCTTCTCATCCTTTTCATCATAGGCATTAGGTGATGGTCCTCCCTCCTATACCACGATGTATCCTGTCAACGCTATTGCATATGTATGAGCCATTTGGCTATGTCTATATCTCACTGTTGTTTTTCGCAAGTAGGCATGTCTACAATACTTAGTAGATTTCATAATATCCGTCCTTAGAGAGAGCGCTTGAAGATCACTCACTATGGCTCGCTGTCACGATCAAAAACAAAATAACATTGTTGTATCAATTACGAGAATACTAAAGCTGAAGAATAAAAAGAAAGGAAGGAAAAGCGGGGCACGGCCTCAACTAAAATATCAGCCCGGCAGAATCGCAACTCTCCGCCCAGGCTTAGACCGTCACACTTGTGCCAAGCTGTTACGGTGAAGCTCTTTCGAAAACAAAAGTATTCGATTCACTTGAATGAAGAAAACAATAAGACTGGAGAAGAGAAGAGTGTTACGGCATGTGGGCCTGACACCACCTGCCTAACGTAAGTCCAGGCGTTAACCAAAAAGACCACCAGTTGTCATGTCAGGTTTCCCATTAATACCCACAGTACAGGATCTTAACAAAGAGAGAAGGAAGAAAAACAAAAGGAGAGAAGAGAAAAGATAAACTGCGCTTCCCTCCTCTCACGTGACATAGTCCACTTCCACTTCCAGTCCATGTGACTTGATGTGTCTCACAAGCGCCCAACCTTTTTGCTACCTCTGGTCTGATGTCTATGCTAGGTGGTATCTGCTGAATCGATGCGTGTGCCTCAGAGCACACAGCCTTGAGCGTTCCCCTCTTCAATATATAATATCCATCAGCCATGGAACATTGAAGGTTTGTATGTGTTGTATTTTGCATTTATTTGCCTCCTGTGTCTCTCAAATTAACGATTGTTTTGTGGTCTTATAGTTAGTTATGGAATAGCTTAATCGCATATTTTATGTATTCTATTATAGCAACGGTATTCTGAGAGGTTACAATAGAGGAAGGATTTGTGAAGGTAAATTGTCTTAAGGAAAAGGAAGTTATAGAGAGAAGACTAGTGTAGTCAGGATAGTTGATTGATGACTGTATGATTGTTCGATTGACGGTAGATAATTCCCTGGGGGATTTGGCTCCTTTTATGTCTGTCCCTGGCTAAACTTTTGTCCGCCACGAGTGCCGTCTATCTTGTTCGAGTGGCGAGAGCCCGAATGATGAGGGTCGAAGCCACGCGTCTTGTGGCTTGTCTGGGACTGGGCCGATATGTGAAGAAATTTGCTCTCATAGGTATGAAGTATAAAATCAGCCATATTAATCGTTTGATGTGGTGAACGCATGGACAATTTGAATTTCAAATTCCATTTATGTTTTCTCTAATTATATTTGTGAAGGGAAATTGTCTTTGTGAGTATTTGACTCTTGTTACCAGGCCCACTGGCCTTGGCTCGGGCATACGGGAGACTGACAGGTATCCAGTATTCCGTCATTGCTCTCCATCCTGTCAAGCATGTCATGACTTATGACTCTCCCCCGTGTGGTCCTGTGTGGCCACGTGCTGCCGCCCTCTAGCTCTCTTGCGAGCCTGTTCTCACTCAGTAGCATTAGCAAAAAGTTGGGGTGTCCTTAACAATGCCCATGTAACTTGAGAGGGTTGAGCATCGGTTCTAGGTCGTAGTCATCTGCTGCTTCTCCACTGTGGCTTTGTCTCTCTCTCGTGTCGTCGAGTTTCCGTCTTCTCCTGGACTTCCACTCCCGTCGGTCATATATCATGTAATATCATCATTCAGCTGTTAATATTAGGGGATTGTTAATGGGACCTTTCATGCCTTAATTTTCAGGTTTTTACCATACCCTTCCGGCATCTTCTGACCGCCCCCTTACCGCTTCATGTATCAACATACCTTCAGTGTAATAAAACTATTTACTGTGGTACCATGGACTTTGCTACAGACTTACAGTGGTACTTCCCGCATCCCTTATTGATGACTACTCCTAGGACAATCTGTAACCGCCTTCCTAACATAGATTAGACTAGTACCTACCATTTCACATGTTCCCCTTCTACTGCGTACTGTTACGCAGTACATCTGTATTTCAGTTGTTTAATCACAACTGATAGCAAACAAAAATGGCAGAACCTTAATCAACAATATGGGATGCAAGTACTACCACTGTAACAAAGTCTATGACACCGACCACAGTAATTTTCATTCTGTTTTACGCCTGGCACTCAAGGGAGGCGAAACTGATAGACAGATATACAGTTGCCTGTGAGTAGAAGGCGGTTAAGCGCAATTCTCTAATAATAAAGGACTTTTGTTACTATGTAATACAGAATTCAAATTACTCTGGC